TCATCGTGAATGTTTTTTATTTTGCATGCATTTTAAAGCCATATCTATGGAAGCTTGTTTCCGCCACTAAATAAAAAAAAAGTAAAAATAATTGCGACTTTTATCTCACAGTTGCGAGATATGAAATCAGAATTGTGAGAAAAAGCCGCAATTGTGAGATATGAAGTCGCAATTCTGAGAAATAAAGTCGTATTTGCGAGATATAAAGTCGCAATTGTGAGAAATAAAGTCGCAATTGTGAGAAATAAAGTTGCAATTGCGAGATATAAAGTCGCAATTCTGAGAAATAAAGTCGTAATTGCGAGATATAAATTCGCAATTCTGAGAAATAAAGTTGCAATTGCGTGATATAAAGTCGCAATTCTGAGAAATAGTCGCAATTGCGAGATATGAAGTCTCAATTGTGAGAAATAAAGTTGCAATTGCGAGATATAAAGTCGCAATTCTGAGAAATAAAGTCGCGATTGCGAGATATAAAAATAGAAAGTTGTGAGAAAAAAAAGACAGAATTGAGACTCTTTACAATTCTGACTGTTTTTCTCACAATTGCGAGTTTACATCTCACAATTCTGACTTTATAACACATAATCGTGAGTTAATATCTTGAAATTCGAAATTTTCTCAGAATTGTGAGATATAAAGTCGCAATTGTGAGTTATCAGGCCAATTCTAATGAAAAAAAAGACTAACTTTTTTCCCCCCTCAGAATAGTTCATATCTCACAATTCTGACTTTACAACACGAATTGCGACTTTATATCAATCAATTTTGACTTTGTATCTTGCAATTCTGACTTTTTAACACACGAAATTCTAACTTTATATCTCGCAATTGCGATTGATTGATTAACTTTAGTAGCTTTAATAAGCATATATTTCTTAGTACTGTTGTTAAATGCTCTGGTGAGGAGATAAACATGGCGGACTGTGTTAGCTAGCTGTCTAAGCTAATACAGGGCGGAGTCCGTCATCAGTCGTGGGCGGGACCTACGCATATATGATATCACATAGGGGTACAAATTTCATATTTAAAATCACCAATGAAATCTGTCATTTTGTATCTAAACGCTCAAATCATGAAAAAAAATGCATTTTTAAAACTTTTTCGGCTATATTGTGCATTGCTCCTAAAGTCTTTGGGATTGGAACTGAAGTGAACATGGATTGGTTATGTGAGGCCTAACATGTTACCTGTAACAGCCAGACTGAAGCATGCAGCCTTCAAACGGCAGCACTGGGTTTGCTTTCACAGCTGGCTTCGGGATGCAGGTGGGCTTGTTTTCTGCCGGTGGGAAACCCCGGTGAGTCCCAAGATGAATGGCATACCTCTGCGGGAAGGTGGAAGGCTCTCTAATTGGGGGCGGGTGGATAATTCCTCTATTTTGAGGCATTTCCTAATCTATATATGAATGATGTTTGCTTTTATTTGTGGGGAACCAAATGGCCCCTTGCTGAAATAGAGATCTGATGTCAAATGGAGGTCTGACCACAGGATTTTCCAGAGAAAACAGGACTCTTTCTGAGTCGAGCAGGTCTCAAAGCAGAGCAAAGGAAGGAGTCGACCTCCCAGCAAACAAATTTAGGTTCTGGGAACGTTAGTTTTTGGTTCCCAGAACGTTCCTAGAACTTTCCCGTAAGGTTAGGGGAACGTTCTCCTTACGTTATAAAAAAGGAACCTAAAACTAACCTACATGGTACGTTCTTATAACGTCCCCAAAAAATAACCTCATGGGACCATTCAGGAACGTTAGGGGAACGTTCTGTGTTTGCTGGGCTCCAGGGGTCCTGGACCTGCTAGGAAAACAAATATTAATTTGACAAAAGATGTATGGCGTATTGAAATTTTTCGTTTACTAGATGCTAGGCAGTCATCCCAGGTCGTTGATCAGATGATAGCATTACTATAACTGCATCAAAGCTCAGAAGCTCAGGTTTTATTTTTAGTAAAAAAGGTTGAGGAACTTTTAGTATTTCGAGTTTACTTTTCGGTCTAATAACTTTTCACAGACACAGCAATTTTATCATGCTAATGTATAATGTGTAATGCTAATGACTTGTGGCTGTAGTTTAACGTGTTTTTTTACATGCATATTATAAATGCCCGTATTATAGTTGCCGTATTATAAATGCCCCACTTTTGCTAGTTTTAAAAAGTTCAATTAATGTAGTTGTTTTTTTTTTTGTTTTTTTTTTTTGAGTGTGAATATATAGTAAAATGTAATTTATTCCTGTGAATTTTCATCAGTCACATGATCCTTCAGAAATCATTCTAATATCTCATTTTTCTTCATATAATGGACTTCAATGGGGTCCAAACGGTTCAAGGTCCTAGAGACCGTTTCAGTGCAAACTACAAACTGTTCAAAGGGCTTTAAACGATTCCAGGCATCAAAATGAACGAGTCAATTCATTCGTTTCGTTCGTTAAATGAACCAAACGACTCGGAAAAAGATGTTCATTTTGATGAACGAGTTCGAACAGGAGAGTCACAAACGCGCATCACAGATTTGAGCTTATAAAACTTAAACTTTGTTATTTATTTATTAAATGAGCGATCGTTTCACTTGATAAGACCCTTATTCATCGTCTGGAATCATTTAAAGCCCTTTGAACAGTTTGCAGTTTGTACTGAAACTGTCTTTTGGACCTTAAATCGTTTGGTTCCCATTGAAGTCCATTATATGGAGAAAATCCTGGAAAGTTTTCATCAAAAACCTTAATTTCTTTTTCGACTGAAGAAAGAAAGACATGGACATCTTGGATGACATGGGGGTGAGTAAATTATCAGCAAAAGTTTTTTTAAAACTGAACTACTCCTTTAAGGATTTGTTGATGAAAAATAGTTCCGAAGAGCTGCATTAATGTGAAATAGACCCTTTTGTAACATTATAAATGTTTTTACTGTGACTTTCGATCGATTTAATGCACCCTTGCTAAATAAAAGTGTAAATTTTTTTTAAAAAGTGCCAAATATGCTGTCAATAGTGCTGAACGTATATTGAACCTGCAGCATTCCTACTCCCGTAGAGGTCTGTGATGTGCTGGTCGTATATCTGAGTCAGAGACATTCCCTTGATAGCGGGCAGGAGATCAAGCACACTTCAAAGGGTTAACCTGATCCCCGAGCTCTGCCCAAGCGCAAGAGGTTAACGTAACGTTCCCTCAACATCACCCTGAGACGTGAGGCGGTGTGGGAAAAATGTGCAGGGTGGCAGAGGTAAAGACAGCGAGGTCAAGCCCAGAGAAAGCGCAGAAATCACCTTCCCACCCTCCGAAACGGCAATAATGCAACGAGTCTGAGGAGGTTTAGAAACAACTTTTATTTTAAAACTATAATGTCAACGTAAACATGACCTTCGACTCGAGGTTTTTCATGCAGTTATTGTTTCAATCTAGCGTAACAGTGGATAATAAACTTTATTTACATAGCAGTGAAGTAAAAACAGGCTTTTGTTGTACTTTAATGGCCACGTGATTAAGAAACCGTCATTCATTCATTTCATTAGTACGATCAGTGACGGCGATATATTCATCCGTGCTGTACATCTCACAGGCCTTGAACACAGTGTACGATCACAAAATATTGCAAATTCACAAAACTTTATACATCTCAGAGGATCTGTGCTGGCGTCATCGTGAAAACGGAAACGTTAGATGATATGAACACGAAATATACGTCACATGAACAAAAGGTTTCGTCATCGACACCAAGGTTCTCGTTGGCTCTTCACACTGATTATATTTATTTTCTTCACTAACAAACAAGAATCAAACACCAGGCAAGACATAAGACATATCGAAACACCAACACTGAGTGATCCGAATCACTGAATCATGTGAATCATTGACACGTCACAAACACAGACACACAGAAAACAAACCCGGAGCCGGATTCACCAAACATTCTTCTTCTTTTCTAATTTAAGAATAGAGTTAAGAATATTTTGTATTCCCAAAGTTCTTACAGTTTTCCCAAAGACAAAACCTGAGACATTTTTTAATTCCTCGTTCTCACGGATCCGCGAAAACGAGTAAAAACAGTGTATTATTCACGCCGGGCCAGTAGTTGGCGATGTCAATTTGTAAAGAAACAAACGTGCATATAAACTTAGTTTTCACTCATTTGCATTTTAGTAGTTAGACGTTAACGGTATCTTTTCAAAAACGTGCACTTTTAAACCCGTTTGTGTTTTCAGGCCCACAAAATGCCACTGTTTTTTAAATAACCTTAAATTATTTAAACAATATGCCAATATTTCTTAATTTTCTGTTGTACTAAACTACCTTAAACTGAAATAAAACTGAATAAAAAAAAACAATATATATATATATATATATATATATTTAAACTAATAAAAATTACAGAAATGCAACAAAAACATAATATATATATATATATATATATATATATATATATATATATAGGGCTGTCAAATGATTAATCGCATCAAAAATAAAAGTTTGTGTTTACATAATATATGTGGGTGCACTGTGTATAATTATTTTATAAATATAAATACACACACATTCTTGTATATATTTAAGAAATATTTTCATGTATACTGTATATAGGTTTATATATATTATATATAAATATTTTATATATAAATTAATTTTTTTTCCTAAATATACATGCGTGTGTGTATGTATATATATATATATATATATATATATATATATATTAAATAATTATACACAGCGCACCGACATATATTATGTAAACACAAACTTTTATTTTGGATGCGATTAATCACGATTAATCATTTGACAGCCCTATATATATATATATATATATATATATATATATATAAAGGAATTCAAAATATGAATGAAAACTATAATAGTAACTCAATGAAACTAAATTGACTCCGCTAAGGATGTGCACGAATAGCTCTTTAATACTAAACCAATAATCGATAAACAATGATCGGTTATGATGTGACTTTTTTCTGAATTTAAAATTCCACAAATCGAGTCCAAAATAGGGACCTTGTTTTTTTATTTATAATTACAGCATCATTTTCAGCAGCTTCAGTGCATTTGAGAGCGGCATAACCTCTTCCTTACGCAGATTTTGGTGAATCCGGCCTCCAGAAAACAGCAGGGAGCGTTTCGTCTCAGTCGTGACAACAACCGAGAAACCTAGTTGTGTTCATCACAGCAATACGTGTTAATTTACTTTCGGCACTAAATTGTGGTGTGTATACTGGTTTTCACGACGTCATTTATCACGGTTTCTGCGCGTCGCCCTTCAGACAGACACTGAAAAGAAAAGCTGGCCGCATCATTTCCTCCAGTCAGACGCCCCTTCACACGCGGCCGGCTGGACAAACAGCTGCTGCGCTACTGTTGCTTTAATGTGGGGGGTCAAATGAAGCTCTGTGGTCATTGCTTTTCTTGATTTAGCTTCACACACAACAACAACAACCACCGAGAAGGAAGATCACAGCAGAGACAGAGGTCAGAGGTCACATACAGTGTCACACTAACAGGGCGAACTCCGACTGAGTGAGGAACATCTTCACTCTCATTCCTGCTCACTTTCTCTTTCCGGACTTCACTTTGATTCGTTCTCATCACTTACTATCGCTCGTTTTCTTTGGTTGAACCTCAATGCAAAAATGTCCAGGTCACATTTCACCCCACAAACTAAAGAAAGGAGATTTTGCTTAAAGTAAGTGGAACCTGTTTTTGCGAAACCATTACTGTAAAGCAAAACAAACTGATGGTACATTACAGTAGTTTTTGCATCATGCAGTATTTATTCTAAATATCTGCCTTTAATTTATGTTTAAATATTTTTTAATACAGTAATTCTCCCAACTTCTTATTAAAATGTAATTTTAAAATAAAAAAAAAATGCAAAAAAAAAATAATATAATAGATTCAATAAAGTTAAAATCAATTATCACAAAGCAAAAAATTGTCATAATAAAAAATCTTAAGGCTTTTTTTCTTTGAGCAAAAAGAAATTAGTTAATTATTTTTTTTAATACGACCTGGACATATTGACTATTTTCATGAGATTCGGCCCTTTCTTTCTTCCTTTCTTTCTTTCTTTTTTTTTTCAAACGTCAGGTTTCCGTCATATTTTCAAGACGTCGTTCGTCGTCGCTTCGTTTCAGCGGAGCGCACATCTCCTTCTGTTCTTCACCTGCATCTCCTCCGGTACCCTTCTCTCTCACATCCTCGATCTCTCCATCCTCGGGCTCAGTTTTCAGCCGGATCACCCTGGGCTCGGTGTGTGTGTTTCTGAAGCTGCGGCTGCGGATGACTCCAGCAGGGGGCGATGTGATCTCTGGCTCTCGGTGCTCTTCCTCTTCCTCCTCCTCCTCCTCCAGATGAGTGCTGGAGTTCCTCAGCTGATCGATGGACTGAGACAGAACCTACAGGAAAACAGAGGAGTTTTATAATGCGTCGTCACATCATACGCAAAGCATCATGGGATGAGTAGTTCATTCCATTACACACACACTCAAGACTTTAGATACATAGTTTTGTACAACGGTTTAAAACCTAATGGGGTAATTGATTTGATTCTTATGGAGAAAATAATTTGAAAAAGTACTTGAAACAGAGTCACAATCGCTATTCCAGCGATGTGTCATCATAATTAATCAGACGTGACACACTAACATGCTCTTTTCATTCTTTTTGATATCTTCTAGTAAATGTGGTCATAAAATGCCTCTCGCCGAACTGGCTTCAGTCCTGCTGTAATAGGGGAAAGTAATACCACCCCGAAAAAATAGCAGCTGTAAAATGAAAAGTGGCTAAATTATATCCGCGAATGCGTGTGTGTTAAACTGCCAGCAAAATCCTCTCCTAGGCCTTCAGGAAATGAAAGAACGACTAAAATAAAGAACTGGGTGTATAAAAATAAAGCATTGTTTTTTTGTTTTTTATTACCCAGCTTTGCAAAATATACAGTTTTCATTACTGAATTACTGACCATTTTCCAAAATAAAATAAAATACAACAATATATAAAATCTTGAATGTTTGACTGTCTAAAAGTTAAAAGCAGCTGCAGTAAAACATCCTGCTGGGACGTACACACTTCCTCTCCTTGTATTAACTCACTTCCTGTCTGAACGAGGCATCAGTCCGCTCCATTTACACAGTCATTTAAGAGAAAAGGCCCTTTAAAACTCTTAACACAGACACACTGCAAGGTCTCACACACACACACACACACACACACTCCAGATGACACTCAGGAATCTTGTGAAAATGCTGCAGTCCTTCACCGGCTCTTAAAGACACATTTATGTAACATAACTCCATCTATCGTCATGTCATCATTCTCCTTCACTACATCCAGTGTGGGAAATAAAGGGACAACCGAAGGTGTATTTTACAAAGGAGTAGTTCACTTAAATAAAAAAAATGTTTGCTGATAATTTACTCACCGCCATGTCATCCAAGATGTCCATGTCTTTCTTTCTTTAGTTGAAAAGAAATTAAGGTTTTTGATGAAAACATTCCAGGATTTTCTCCATATAATGGACTTCAATGGGGACCAAACGGTTCTGTGATGCGCGTTCGTGACTCCCCTGTTCGAACTCGTTCATCAAAATGAACAAATCTTTTTTTCGATTCAAGTCAAGTCAAAAACAAGTCATTTGGTCGATTCAATGAACAAAATGTACGAAATGACTCAAAAAAAGATTTAATTTTGATGAACGAGTTCGAACAGGAGAGTCACGAAGGCGCATCACAGAACAGAGCAAGGCGACCATTTGAGCTTATGAAACTTAAACTTTTTTATTTATTTTTGAAATGAGGATCGTTTCACATAAGACCCTTATTCATCGTCTGGAATCGTTTAAAGCCCTTTGAAGCTGCACTGAAACTGTCTTTTGCACCTTGAACCGTTTGGTCCCCATTGAAATCCATTATATGGAGAAAATCCTGGAATGTTTTCATCAAAAACCTTAATTTCTTTTCGACTGAAGAAAGAAAGACATGGACATCTTGGATGACATGGGGGTGAGTAAATTATCAGCACTCCTTTAAGAAAACCTCAACTCATTTAAACAAAACACTAAAGTCTTTTTTGGTATATTTAAGATCCTGTAAATCTATTGCAAAGTGGTAAATCATGACAGTGCTTTTGTTTCGACGATGTCCATTAAATGACCCTCAATCGCCCGAGTTTAAAACACTCTTAATATTCATAGTCCAGTCATTTTAAGAAAAAAAGGTTGAACAAATTGCAACAGAAGCAAACTCAACTGATTTTTGATCCTGAGTAAGGGGAAAAAAAAGCCCTGAGGAATCCCATTAAGTTTCAAAAAATAAATTTGAACCATCTTGATTACTTGCATTAAGACAAACAAAAAATGTATTGCAAGTTTTTTGAAATTGTTTGTTGACATGGACAAACGGTGCATTATCCAATTACGTATGTGCTAGTTTGCATAAATTGCACAACAGATCTAAACATCGGGTGAAAATGGCATTGTTTGTGTGTGTTGTGAAGTCACCTGGCTGATGTGAACCTGTTGGTGAAACTGTTTCTGCTTCTCCACGAAGTTGTGGTGTTGTTGCTGCAGCACGAGCTGGGCCAGAGCGCTCTGTGGTAGCGGCGCCGACTGCGTGCGGTTCAGGGGGCGGTGTCGCGGTAACCTGACGCGAGCGCTCGCCGACGCGCGCTCCTTCATCGCCAGAGGAGACGAGGACAGCACGGGGACGCTGCCTGTGACTGGATCAAACATGAGCCGCACATCAGCATTTCACACCGAACCAGTTTATCAATTCCACTGTGCTACTTTTCCACTGTTTTTTAATGTAAATGCGCTAGACGGACGCCTTTAACCGGTGCGCTTGCATTTTTAACTTTTAACCCCCTGTAGTCAATCATTATAACCCTTAAAAGTTATCTTTGATCAACAATCTGACATATTTAAACATTTTTTCCTTGAAAAATGTCTTAAAACCGCTTGAATGTAACTCGACACCCTTCACCTCATTTAGTATGCGTGGTTCTATGAATATGCAAATGAGCTCCACCTCCACTCGCTCAGCTCAGAGATCCACTGGCTGACGATCACACGTTGATCTGATTGGTTATGAGGTCGTTTGTGACGTCAGAAATACCAGCGATTACGTGTTTTTGAGACTGTCTTTGGTTCACTGCAGTTTTAAGCAGACTTATGAACTTGCACATGGTGTGTCTTAAAGCGTATTAAAAACACCACATAGACATATAAACAACATTAAAAGCTGGATTTCTGGTATTAGCTGGTATTAGTTTTCATTTAGATTTTAGTTTTAGTGATTTTGTTGTGTTTTTTTCTCTTTAGTCTATATAGTTAGCGGATGTGTGCGGTTGCTGTGAGATCTGCTCACCGGGCGAGATCATCCTCTGCTGTCTCTGCTCCTTCAGAAGCAGGTGTTGCAGGAGCGCTTGCTGTCCGTTGCTCGCTTTACTATCCAGCGAGACGGGACACGCGGCCAGACCTTCTGTGCTCCGGTCCTTCAGCGCCGTACCCGTCTAACAGAGGAGAGATCAGGCAAACGCTGTTCATATCCCAGGTCAAATCAGCTCACCTGTGTTTATAGCGCTAAACACAGTAATACACGCGTTCGTGACTCTACTATTCGAACTCTTTGTTGAATGAACCAAATGACACGAAAAAAAAATTTGTTCATTTTGATAAACGAGTTCAAACAGGAGAGTCACGAATGCGCATCACAGAGCAAAGCAAGGCGAGCATTTGAGCTTATAAAACTTAAACTTAGTTTTTTGTTTTTTTAAATGAGCGATCGTTTCACTTGATAAGACCCTTATTCATCGTCTGGAATCGTTTAAAGCCCTTTGAACAGTTTGTAGTTTGCACTGAAACTGTCTTTTGGACCTTGAACCGTTTGGTCCCCATTGAAGTCCATTATATGGAGAAAAGGAGTAGTTCACTTTTAAAAAAACTTTTGCTGATAATTTACTCACCCCCATGTCATCCAAGATGTCCATGTCTTTCTTCCTTCAGTCGAAAAGAAATTAAGGTTTTTGATGAAAACATTCCAGGATTTTTCTTCATATAATGGACTTCAATGGGGACCAAACGGTTCAAGGTCCAAATGAGAGTTTCAGTGCAAACTGTTCAAAGGGCTTTAAACAACACCAGACGATGAATAAGGGTCTTATCAAGCGAAATGATCGCTCATTTAAAAAAAACAAAAAAAAAAGTTTAAGTTTTATATGTTCGAACTCGTTCATCAAAATGAGCAAATCTTTTTTCGTGTCATTTGGTTCATTCAACGAACAAAATGAACAAGTTGACTCGGGAAAAGATTTGTTCATTTTGATAAACGAGTTCGAACAGGAGAGTCACGAACGCGCGTCACAGAACAGAGCAAGGCGAGCATTTGAGCTTATAAAACTTAAACTTTGTTATTTATTTATTAAATGAGCGATCGTTTCGCTTGATAAGACCCTTATTCATCATCTGGAATCGTTTAAAGCCCTTTGAACAGTTTGAAGTTTGCACTGAAACTGTCTTTTAGACCTTGAACCGTTTGGTCCCCATTGAAGTCCATTATATGGAGAAAAATGCTGGAATGTTTTCATCAAAAACCTTAATTTCTTTTCGACTGAAGAAAGACAGACATGGACATCGGGGGTGAGTAAATTATCAGCAAAAGTTTTTTCAAAAGTGAACTACTCCTTTAAGCTGAACTATGGCGCTATTTTCTTCTGGAAACAATTTTTTTTATTTTTCCTGTTATCTCTGTGAAGCTGCTTTGAAACAATCTGTATCGTAAAAAGCGCTATATAAATAAAGATGACTTGACTTGTTATTATTCATGGTCAATTATGCTGTAAATTATAAACCAAACTGGATTCGGCGATAAGCAGCTCTAGAGAGGTGTCATAATTCACCCTAATTCAGTTCATCCGATAGTGTCAGTGCAGTCGAATAATAATGATATCACTGAATATTTAGAGTCTATTAAACTGCATCTAGGGAAGCCAAACGCGACATGTGCTCTAAATCATAAAACATTCCCCTACTTTAGCATTTACAGACAAATTCTCACTCAAGCATGAGAGAGTTACATAACACCTCATGCATATGAAATATTAATAACTGTGCTCTTTTTAAAACACATCCAGTCAGCATTCACGTCGGCGGCGTCCATAAGGTGCGCGTAATGACCGAGCTGAGCTCCCTCATGAGTCATTCAACTATTTTAAAATGTGAAAGTGTTGAAAGTGTTCTCGCCTCGATGGTAAAAGTGAGCCGTGTTTTGATTCGTTGGCATGTTACGCGCTCTCCGAACACAATTTCTTGAGCTTTTTAACAGCCCGTGATGAACGAGATGCTAAACTCTAAAACTCTGAAACCCTAAACCGAGCGCCGTATTTACCCAAGGGCTAAAGATCCCAGAGGTCAGAGGTCACAAGCCCTCAGGGCTGTACATTAATCCAGCCGGGACTGAACACTAGCACTCGGTGAAAGCAGAAAATGAGATCTGCACCTAAACCTTCAGCAAACAACAAACATCTCTCTAGAAACACGGCGATCGGCCTCATCGCCGCCACATTCCTCACACAGCGTTTTGTGCTTTACCGCAAATAGATGCGACTCTGTGTCTCACTGTCTCCTAAAAATACCGTCTCACAGTCCCTTGCTCTTTCTGCATATCTATTCCTATCTGTTGCGCAGCAGAACGAGAGCTGGCGACGCTGCTTTTGTGTTTATTCCCAGAGGACAGCCGTGTTTCTCAGAGGTCGCTCTTTCAAAGCTCGTCTCCTTTAAGAATCAACAGTGTCTCAGATGTTTCTGTAATCTGAACGAGCCAATAATTTGATGACAAGTGTTTGAGATCTCTGACTTTTGCATCTGGGCCAATATTATTCTTCCTCAGTATTTTTTACAAATGTCCAAAAATGTTAAATATTCTTAAATCAAGATAGATTTACTAACTAAAGAATGAAAATGACAAGAAAAAATAAAATCAAAATTTCCCTTTGAATTACGTTTATTTTTCTGGCCACACTGACATACTTTTTTGTTTCAAGCATAAATAAGCATTATTCAAGCATTAATATTTAATATATTAAGCTTCTCAAGTAAACACATTTTGATTTAAAGGAGTTCACTTTTAAAAAATCTTTTGCTGATAATTTACTCACCCCCATGTCATAAAAGATGTCCATGTCTTTCTTTCTTCAGTCGAAAAGAAATTAAGGTTTTTGATGAAAACATTCCAGGATTTTTCTCCATATAATGGACTTCAATGGGGACCAAACGGTTCAAGGTCTAAAAGACAGTTTCAGTGCAAACTTCAAACTGTTCAAAGGGCTTTAAACGATTCCAGACGATGAATAAGGGTCTTATCAAGCGAAACGATCGCTCATTTAATAAATAAATAACAAAGTTTAAGTTTTATGAGCACAAATGCTCGACTTGCTCTGTTCTGTGATGCGCGTTCGTGACTCTCCTGTTCGAACTCGCTCATCAAAATGAACAAATCTTTTTCCGAGTCATTCGGTTCATTCAACGAATTTAATAGTTTGCACTGAAACTGTCTTTTGGACCTTGAACTGTTTGGTCCCCATTGAACTCCATTATATGGAGAAAATCCTGGAATGTTTTCATCAAAAACCTTAATTTCTTTTCGAATTCCTTTGGGCGGGAATTATTTAAATTAAAGGAATATTGTTACAGTACGTGTTCGTTCCCGGAGAAAAAAACTCATGCGTTCTGTGAACTTACGCAGAGGTGCGCGTGAGCCGGGTGCAGAGCCAGCGTGAGGTTGGGCAGAGAGGGGGATGTGTAGAGGTTCAACAGGGACAGGGATCCATCCGTGTGTAGGACGCCGCTCTGAGACAGACACCGCTGGAGGAGACACACACACACACACACAGCGTCACATCACCTCTTATATACATTAGTGCAGCGTCACACAAAGAAACAATAGTATATTATGAGATTGTGCTTCGTTTAAAAATCTGAATATGGATCCACTGTCACATGACAGGAGGAGTGTGTGTTCAGGAGGAGAGTATGCTGGCCCGCTGCCCTTGAGGAAATGCTTGGGAAGAACTTCACAGGAGAAATAAACCTCTCCATCCCGGAGCCCCTCATCCCCTCACCCCCTTCCCCAAACGCCAGCGCAGCCAGAAACCACAGCGGAAAAGAGCTGTCACAGTTAGTTCAGCACAGCACTGCCACACACACACACACACACAATCACACCTTCAAACTTCTTAGAAGTCTACAACATCAAATGTGGTTTTGATGTGTTTGTTTGTGTAGCTCCAAACAACCAATCACTCGGGGCCCGACTCATTCACCTCACAGTCTGATCAGCGCTGTAATGGAGGATTTTATTTAGTTTCAGTTTTTGGGGTCTATGGTTCAGTTCCCAAAAATGCAATCATGGCCTGAAAACTGCACGCAAGACCCGCTCCACAGCCGCCACTGTGTGTTACCTGTGTGTTTAAAGAGACGACTGCTACGCAAGGGTAAGAATGACATTAAATATAACAAGGCAAATCCACATTACAAGCAAACAGAAAAGCTCTGAGAAAAGCTTTGATATATTTATCAATATATCAATATCTGATTGCAGATTTGCCACTTGCTTTGACGCTTTGTTTTCCAATGCAGTGATATTCAGACATTTTTCTTAATAATTGCATCCCACAAGTACTGTGAGTCATTTCCCATGTGAAGAGGTTAGTCATAATAAAGCCATTAAAGGAGAACTCCGGTCAATTTTTAACATTGAGCTCATTTTTTTGTACATTTGGAGTGCTGTCAGTACAGACTAAAACGACAAAAATCGATGTTGCCTACACTGTGTTATCGTGTTTTTTTTTTATTCACATCCTGTTGACTTCAATGGGGCATGTGATGCAAAAAAATATGTTAAAGGAGTAGCTCACTTTTAAAAAAAACTTTTTCTGATAATTTACTCACCCCCATGTCATCCAAGATGTCCACGTCTTTCTTTCTTCAGTCGTAAAGAAATTAAGTTTTTTGATGAAAACATTCCAGGATTTTTCTCCATATAATGGACTTCAATGGGGACCAAACGGTTCAAGGTCCAAATGAGAGTTTCAGTGCAGCTTCAAAGGGCTTTAAACAACACCAGACGATGAATGAGGGTGTTATCAAGCGAAACGATCGCTGATTTCAAAAATAAATAAAAAAAGTGTACTTTTTTATAAGCACAGCGTTTGTGACTCTCCTGTTTAAACTCGTTCATCAAAATGAACAAATCTTTTTTCGAGTCATGACTCGAAGGGTCCTTATATAAGACCCTTATTCATCGTCTGGTGTCGTTTAAAGTCCTTTGAAGCTGCACTGAAACTCTCACTTGGACCTTGAACCGTTTGGTTCCCATTGAAGTCCATTATATGGAGAAAATCCTGGAACGTTTTCATCAAAAACCTTATTTTCTTTTCGTCTGAAGAAAGAAAGACATGGACATCTTGGATGATATGGGGGTGAGTAAATTATCAGCAAAAGTTTTTTTTAAAGTGAACTACTCCTTTAATTCAGCCAGCTCACATACCTGTATTTACTTCCTGTTCGAGTAGTCGATTGTCGAGTTTGCGCGCGCAATCGTTGGTAACTAAGCAACCGTGGAGACTCAGACTGTCAGCCAATGACGGTGCTGTGTGTGTTCTGAGAATATCAGCTCAAATGGATACTTCATCCGACCCAGATGTTGAACATCATTTAGTTGCCAATGATCGCTCGCGTGAACTCGACAATCGACTACTGTGGACTTCGACTGAAAACAGGATGTAAATACATGTATGTGAGCTGGCTGATTTAACATAATTTTTATTAATATCTTTCACATCTACTGCAGTCAGATTGACCGTGGTCACACTCGCATGGCTGTGCACTCGTAATGACAAATCAAGGATGTTAAGAGGCTAAAAGCAGGGTTAGAACTTAACCCATTGAAGTCAACAGGGTGCAAATTTAAAAAGAGGATAACACCGATTTCGGTCGTTTTTGCCTGTACTGACAGCACTCCAAAAAATGAGCTCAGTGTTAAAATTGACCGGAGTTCTCCTTTAAAAGTACAATTTTGTGCTTTACTCGAATGTTAATTTTATTTAATCTACAAAAAAATAGTTTCGGTACCTCAATTTGGCTGGTGCTGGACCGGTATGATGCTCCGTTCTCATTGCCGCACAAGCCAATGGGTGAGCTCGGTCCAGAACCTGCAGGGCTCTCATTGGCTGAAGAATCTAGACAAGAGGAAAAGTATTGACGGTGAGCTCCGCCCACAGCTGAAGCTCATTGGTCTGTAAATCAAAACTTCAAAATCTCTCTCCACACAGTTTGGTACTGTCGTTCGCCCACCTGTTAGCTCTAGAGTTCGTTTTTTCATCGGCGTGACGAGAACGCTGCCGTCTCTGCGGCGTATCGGCCCGCTTCTTCTCTCAGAAACCTTCTGCTTGAGTCTGGACCGGACCTTCAGATTGGGCTCAGATGCTGAGAGGAAAGAGCAAACAGATTACATTAGTTTATTTCCGCCAGGCCGATGACTTATCTAATTATCTGCTATTAATAAGAGTTCTAGCTCTAAAATCGACTGTTTTCGGCGGATAATAAACAATGTCTTTATACATTTTTGAATAAATGCATGTGCCCCATTATGCTTTTTCAAATATTAATTTTCATGCATTGAGCTGTTTGTGCACGTAAAAGGCGATTTAGCAGTCGACCAATCAGGACAGACTGGACCTTCTGACCAATCAGAGCAGAGCAGACTCTCTGAAAGGCGGGGCTTAGAGAGAGCTGATGCTGCAAAGTACATTATGAGTGTTTTTTGACCTTGCATGCATGTAAACAAAACAAAATTAGGAACCTTTAAAATAGCTTTAAATTCAATGTCACTTCATTTTCACGTATATGCATGTACGAGTGGTCTGACGAGGCAGCTCACAGAACCAGCTGAGTGAATGTGTGGCCGCGGTCCAGCCACACTGAGGAATTCTGGGATGTCTCCCAGCTGTAATGAGGTAAGAACTGGAAGATCAATTCCATCGTTCATCTGGAGGACATTAAATCTGTCCAACAGCTCTCCGCTGGCTGTAGGAGTCCAGTACCTGCCAGCCTGCCGACCACAAACCTCTACGGTAGCCGTGTTTAAACGAACACTGAGATGTCGGCACAGACAGAGGGAGATTTGGCTTGGAAAAAAAGGGGAAATCCTGTTTTTTTGCACCACTGTGACCTATGGAGTACCAAAATTCCCTGGATTTTACTCCGGCTAGCCCTATAGACGCCACCTACCACCGTCTGACCGCTGAGTGGGCATCAAAGATACACACATCAGGAGACCGACATGATTACAACACACTGTGGGCCAAGGACAGAGATGAAAGGAGAGGAGGAATTTGAGACACAAGACTTAATAAATGATTTGTATAATAATGTAAAAAATGTATTACAAAATAATGAAACTGATATAAATATAATTGTATTTATAATAAAAAATTAAATAATACATAAAATAATAAAATTAAATTTCAATACAAAATTACAACAAAATAATATATAATTAATTCAAATTAAATATAATTGTATTTATAATAAATAAATAAAAATAATAAAATTTTAATTAAATATAATTATATTTATAACAAAAATAAAAAATACAATTATATAATAAATACAATACAATTATTTTTTTATTAAATATTTATTTAATTTTCGTTATATTTTTTTATAAATATTTAATACAAATTATATTTAATTGTATTTATAATAAAAAAAGCAAAATAATATAAAATTTTAGTTAAATAAAATTCTATTTATTTAATTAAAATAAAATGACTACATCCAACCCCTAAAAGGTAAACTGTTGACAAAAACAAACGTTCCTTTGAATATTACATATTATGAATAATTAATTGCGGGTTTTGTCAGACTTGACTATAGTCTACTTTTAGGGATAAATAGTGATCATTCGCACAGACAACTTAAACGTGAGGCCTTTTGAATGTGTTTGGCTATACAATCATGCATATAGTTTAAGGATACAATACAACTGATTTCCAGTAGGAACTAAGCTTTGAGTTTTCGAAGTTTTTACCACCACTGTAAGCCTGCAGTCTTATGGCTGTCGTTCGGGAAAAACCCGACAGGTCATATTTGGCTGTTAACCCAAAAAAATGTTACAAGCAATTTAAGAGCCCCACATTGATTAATAAAATGGAAGACGGCTGACAAAAAAAATCATAATGAAACGGATGCTTTGAGTTTCAGGAGCACTGGGCCGAGATCAGAGATTACGGCAATGGCGAAATACTGTAATTTACCCTCTCTGACACATGATGAATAAGAGCTATTAGAAAAATACCGCAAAAATATTTGCCCAGCAATTAGCGGGAAGGATTTACACATTTTTAATTCGTTGGGAAAATACGCAGAGCGGTCGGCATGTTTACGTTGGGCCGCGTCATTAAAGGGCATTTTCAGTGTAGCCCGAATCAAGCTTCCTTAAACAAACACCTTTGGGACGGGGTTACATGGCATGAGCGGGTGACGGCTGGAGGGTCCGTCCACCAAACTCATGTGCACCTGTGAGGCTTGTTTAGCTGCTGCTGACCAGTTCCATATGGCGGGAGGAATGAGAACATACACACCGCCTACATTACCAGTGCTAACAAACCAGCACACCCAGTTAACCGCTACACCTCGCAACAGAGCACTCAATCCATGTGTGAACTACAGTTCCCACCAAAAATACCCTAGTCACTACAGTTATTGCTGTATTTAATTTAAAGCCACTGGTGGCTGATACCAAGTTTATAGTGAACATTTTTTAAAATATGTTTGAATAAAATGTAAGTGGTTCTTGCCCATACAAAACTTACCGGCATGATGCTATGATGGTTGCCAGGGTGTTGCTACAGTATGTGGTTGTTATGGTGTTCTAGATGGTTCCTGGATCTGTGTTAGAATGTTCTGTGTGGTTGCTAGGCATTCTGAGTGGCTTACAGTTGCTATGAGGTTACTATGGTGTTCTATATGGTTGCCAGGGTGTTGCTATGTGATGTGCTAAAGTGTTCTTCAGTAGTTTCATTCCAGTGCCGTTGTTAGAATGATCTGTGTGGTTGCTATGTGGTTGCTAGGCATTCTGAGTGGCTTACAGTTGCCATAAGGTTACAATGGTGTTCTAGATGGTTGCCAGGGTGTTGCTATGTGGTTTGCTAAAGTGTCGCAGTTTTAAGCACATTCCTGGGTGGTAGCTAGAATTGTCTGTGTGGTTTCTATGAAGTTGCTAGGTATTCTGAGAGGTTTTCTGCATGTTGCTATGATGTTACTATGGTGTTCTAGATGGTACTCTTAAATAGTTTTTAGCACATTACTGTGTGGTTGCTATAATGTTCTGTGTGGTTCATATACAGTTGCTAAGGTGTTCTGAGTGGTTTTCAGCATGTTGCAATGATGTTTCCATGGTGTTACTATGTGGTTGCTAAGGTACTCTTAAATAGTTTTTAGCACATTACTGTGGTTGCTATAATGTTCTGTGTGGTTCATATACAGTTGCTAAGGTGTTCTGAATGGTTTAGCATGTTACTATGACGCTTTAGATGATTTCCGGGGTGTTGCTATGTGGTTGCTAAAGTGTCTAGACACATTAGATGCTAAGTATGAGGTTACTATGGTGTTCAGAATTGTTGCCAGGTTGTTGCTAAGTGGCTTGCTAAAGTGTTCTTCAGTAGTTTCATTCCTGGATCGGCGTTAGAATGTTCTGTGTGGTTGCTATGTGGTTGCTAGGTATTCTATAAGGTTACTATGGTGTTCTATATGGTTGCCAGGGTGTTGCTATGTTATTTTCTAAAGTGTTCTTCAGTATTTTTCAGTACACATTCCTGGGTGGTTGCTAAAATGTTCCGTGTGGTTGCTATGCAGCTGCTAAGGTGTTCTGAGTGGTTAATAGCATATTTCAATGAGGTCACTATAATGTTCTAGAAGATTTCCAGGGTGTTGCTATGTGATTGCATGGATATTCTGAGTTGTTGCTAGGTGGATGTTTAACCAGCTCTGTCTCTGGGCTCAGTTCCCTCCTTTCTATCCAGCAAAAAATGGTTTGACTTCCCAAAATATATGTAGAATAAATACACTGTATAAGATAAAGAAATGTTGCGAAAAATATATTTTCTATAAACCATCAAATGGCTAAATGTTTTAGATTATGTATTTGAATGATTTTCTGTAATATCTATTTGTTTAAAATACATTTTTGGCAATATAAATATATTTACATTGAAAAAATATATCAACACATATGAGAAAATATAACAGTTAATTAATCAACAAACAATGTGTTTGACCATTTTTGAAATATATTTTAATCTGAAATTTTTTTGCTGAAATAGGTGCGTCTGATCACTTAGTAAAGTAGCAAACGCTAAAAATGAATACTTGGCATTAAGAGTTTGTCCAAATCACCAGTTGCACTAGCAGTGTCTTTCCCGCTGTTCTCTTTCCTTACACAAACAGATCTGTCGCCTGCACATCATGACCACTCAGCATCCCGCCCCCCCTTCACACCTGTCAATCATTCAGCCGTGGTGAAGGTCCTGACCAGGGCAAAGAACAAACGGCACCTTCATGATCAGCCCGCCTGGCCGAATCTGAGCGGGAATCTACCGGGAATGAGGCCTCGGCACGCCAGGGAGAGTCTATACAGGATGTTTGATATTTCAAAACATCTTGAATGTTGGATGCGCGAAGCTTCTCGTTGGGAGTGATTACACTCATAAACTCATTCTGCTCAGGCACAGGGAGGTGTTTTGTGTTTTAATTGGCCGCTCCTGCTCTATCTCTGTTGGTTCTGATGTACGGCCTGAAACCGGAGCCACAGGAAGTGGCCCTGCAGACTGTCTTGTCAGCGTAGACAAATTATTCCATTCACAAAAAAGCAGGCTGTTTTTCTTTCCGTTTTTTTTTTCCAGCTTTTGCGTCGTTGTTTTTGTACCCCCCCCCCCCCAATGTACCGGACGGGCCTCTTTTTAAAAGCTGTTACCTGAGTTATTGAGAGGGGATGAAAAGTCGGCCCACGGTTTCGTGATCTTCGGTGCGGCGCAAACCCCTGCGCTCAGGAAAAATCTCCCCGGAGGTTTGCGGTATTCCGGCCCGTTGAGCCTCCGGACCCCCTTTCCCAGTTTTTAGGCCATGCTGGAAATTCCGTGAAAACAGTGCCTGGATGAAAACCAGGTCTATATTTACATTTCCTTTGAAAAGGGTTTCAGTCTTATCATCGAGTCAGGCGTATCACCTTCCTCTGCAAACTCATCTCGAAATCAGCCTCGCTACGAGACGCCGAAATATGCAGAAAATATCCGAGGTTGAAGATCATGTTGACTTAAATGCGAGTTCCCGGAAAAATGAGCATATTGTACTTTTTTTTTTTTTTTTGTGGTGTTTGCAAAGACAGGCATCACTTTTACTGTGTACCGTTTTAAAAGACTATTGTTTTCTTTTGAAATTTATCAAAAGTGACAGTCGAGACATTTATAATGTACAGTAAATGCTGTTCATTTGAACTTTATATCCTGTATTTACGTAAAAAAAATCCTGAATTTAGGTCAAAACGACAAATACTGTTCGTTTTCTCACACAAACCGCTCGTTTCGTTTCTTACATTTACGAGTCGTTAAATCATGTTTAATTTGGACTTCTCTGTGCATGCTCTTTGAGGTGGTGACCATAGACCTCCATTATATAACTGATAGACAAGAACGGTTTGACCTAAAAATATCACTACTGCGGAAACAAAGACACCTACATCTTGGATGCCCTTGAGGTAAGATAAAACATACCAAAAATTAATTTCAAAGTGCACTATCCCTTTAACCACTCAGCCTTTTTAACCTGTCTGACAATAAAACATGCAAAACAATCCCAAAGCACAGGGTGAAAGGTCAAATGTGACCATCCTGCACACTCATCTGAGGTGATTCGCAACCGTGCGACCCAAAGCCACCTACGCCCTCAGGACGAGTTAACCTCTGCGCTCTGATTAGGGGCCGAGAGCCGTCCCGGGGAACCCCTCTCTCTCCGGCCCGGGTCTGGTCTCTGCAACCCCTCCGCTGGGTAATTGTTTGCAAACCTCCACGCCGGCCGCCCCGGGGCACAGAGTGGGCACAAGCGTGGTCATTCTCACCGCGCTGACCCCAAAGCTAAACAGGGTCACTCACCGGCCCCATTTAGCTCTGCCCACAGGCCACCGGGCTCAGTGACATGCTCAGTTGACCCTTGACCCCGGTGATTAAATATCGGCCAGATTCATCTGCAAACATTTAGGCAGTGTCACCTCCGCCGAGCCCCCGTGACACTCGTGCAGTGCTGTCAGATTCTGCACGAGCTCGGAGCAAGAACACACTTCAGTTCATCTCGCAACGGCTGGAGGTCACTGAGCTCTGTTACAAAACATAATCAACCTATCGACTGTAGACAGCAGCAAAATGATGCTGTATTTTGGTCACACAAACTAATAATGCATCATTTTAAAGAACATTATTAATAAAGACCAGATCACTGTTAACGTTACTAGAAGAACCTTGCAAGAACGTTGAGAAAGTTTGCAGTGCAAAAATATTCTTACATAAGTCTTTTTGCCTTGTTTTCCATTACAAATATCTTAAACAATCTTAAATCAAGATGCATTTAAATAAATAAAGTGAGTTTATGCTTAAAATAATATATATATATCTGTCAATGGAGTAAGAAGAATAGTCATGTTTTCTCTTTGAATTAAGTATTTTTTTCTAACCCCACTGGCAGATTTTTTTCTTGTTTTATTAAGTATAAACTCACTTAATTTTGATATATTCCTCAGAAAATAAGACTTAAAGGGATAGTTCACTTTGAAATTAATTTTTGGTATGTTTTATCTTACCTCAAGGGCATCCAAGATGTAGGTGTCTTTGTTTCTGCAGTATTTTCAATTTTGATATTTTTAGGTCAAACCGTTCTTGTCTGTCAGTCATATAATGGAGGTCTATGGTCACCACCTCAAAGAGCATGCACAGAGAAGTCCAAATTAAACATGATTTAATGACTCGTAAATGTAAGTACACATTGATGGCCTAAGACACGAAACGAGCGGTTTGTGTGAGAAAACGAGGACTATTTATATCGTTTTTACCTCTCGTAATCACAGTCACGTCCAAGTGATCTGAGGCCGCGGGCGCTTTGCGGCTGTGGTTACAAGAGGTAAAAACTATATAAATACACTTTGTTTTCTCACACAAACCGCTCGTTTCGTGTCTTAGGTCATCAATGTGTACTTACATTTACGAGTCATTAAATCATGTTTAATTTGGACTTCTCTGTGCATGCTCTTTGAGGTGGTGACCATAGACCTCCATTATATGACTGACAGACAACGGTTTGACCTAAAAATATCAAAATTCAAACTACTGCGGAAACAAAGACACCTACATCTTGGATGCCCTTGAGGTAAGATAAAAAATTAATTTCAAAGTGAACTATCCTTTTTTTAGTAATTTTGTTTCAAGTATTTTGATTTAAGAATGTTTAGATATTTGTACTGGAAAAGACAAGACAAGTGAAATGTGTTTGTGCATTATGCATATGTGCATGATATATAACATTGCATTGTTAGTTAAGCAGGATGCTAATGGCTAACATGCTGCCTAGGTAGTGAACTGCAAATAATCAAACAGAGCCATTAGCAATAATATGCAAAACACATCAACTTACATGATAAGTCTTCTGAATCTAATCAGATTTAAGAACCGTTCGTTGTGACAAAACCACACACACTTCCCAAACCTGAAAGCCTCCAAACGTGTCTCAGATTAAACTGATTTGGTAAGGATCATAGGACAGGATTCTTCAGCATGACCTCTGAACTCTGACCTACCAGTCTTCCTGAGAGGGAAGTCCTCTCTGTAGTCCAGGCCAGAGGTCAGAGGGTATTTGAAGGTGGGCGGAGTCTCTCCCAGAGGAGGGGAGCTCTGTTCGGCAGGACCCGGGTGGGCGGAGCTGTGGTGACATCATGAGAGCGCGTTACACTTTTCATACTTTTGATTCCACTCACATTCTGTTCTATTTTGTTAAACACTCACATGGAAGAGAAGTGTAAAGGAGGGTGATGATGTACCTGTACCACAGTTTTGAGTGGCTGAGAGGGTAACCAGCGCCGGACACAGACGGGTCTTTAGCCGATTTACTCATCAGAAAGTCGTGCAGTTTCTGACGAACTTCAGTACTGGCCATCGCACCTGCGGAAAACATAGAAACGTATATAAAGTCAGCCTATATGTGACTCTTATTATGTAATGGATATATATGTATTTAAAATATTTCCTTTAATATATGTAGCTACCTAATATTTATTTTTACCTATAATTAATTTTCTTTTATATATGTATTTAATACATATTCAAATAAATGTATGTATTTTCAGTTTAATTGTTAATATTTATGTTTTTTTTTACAAAATATTTATTCTTCTTATCAAGCCCTTTTGCTATCATTTTAATATTTACATATATCTTTTATTTATATTTATAATTTAAATATAATATTTAATCAATAAGATTAAATATGATATAGTTATATTATAAAAATTAATAAATATATTTTATAATTAAGTCTAATTGTTTTCCTTGGTTTCAAAGTGTGTGCTATCTCTATTCTAAGTATGTTTGACAAATAAAATGTGATATTGTTAAAAGTTTTGGTTAATATAAGCCATATTATTTTTATATAATGAATTCAGTGCATTTTTATTATTTGATTTCCTCACTCTGCTCATGTTACATTCTCAGAAAGGAGAGACATGTGCAGGAACAGCGCCACCTAGTGGTGAATCAAACCATTTTCAGGATTAAATCATTGCTGAATAGTTTCTGGACATTAAAAAATAGTAGTCATTTTTCATTTTCAAGTGTATAGCCTAAAGAAAAAACTATAGAGCTAATTTGGGGAACTCTACACTGTTGTAAAGACGGAGAGCTGCTTTGAGGGATGGGTTGCTCACTCTCTTTAGATCGCTCCTTCCGTCTGTGGTGCTGGTGTTTCTGTGTTTCTCTCCTGTGGAGCTCCTTCTCGTCCTCCCGCACCTCCTCTCTCTCCTCTTCACACATCAGCCGACGCTCCTCGGCGAACACCTCCTGCTGCTGCCGTAGAGTTAGCAGAGCCTGCTGGAGCTGACGGAGCAAAACACAGGTAATAAAACCTCCATCCTGACCGCTCACAAGCACTGAGGTAAAGAACATGGCTGATGTTTAGAGATCAGATTGATGTATTGGCGATAAACTGCAAAGAAATATTGTTTTGTTTTGTTTAAATCTTGGTTTCCGTTCCAAATATCAAAAAAATCTTAAAGGAGTAGTTCACTTTTTTTTTTTTTTTTTTTTTAAACTTTTGCTGATAATTTACTCACCCCCATGTCATCCAAGATGTCCATGTCTTTCTTTCTTCAGTCGAAAAGAAATGAAGGTTTTTGATGAAAACATTCCAGGATTTTTCTCCATATAATGGACTTCAATGGGGTCCAAACGGTTCAAGGTCCAAATGACAGTTTCAGTGCAAACTGTTCAAAGGGCTTTAAACTATTTCAGACAATGAATAACTTTCCTATTTGAACTCGTTCATCAAAATGAACGAATCTTTTCCAGAGTCAACTCTGAGTCAACAAGTTCGAACAGAAGAGTCACAAACGCTCATCACAGAACCGAGCAAGGCGAGCATTTGAGATTATAAAATTTAAACTTTGTTTTTTTTTGTTTTTTTTTTAAATGAGCGATCGTTTCGCTTGATAAGACCCTTATTCATCGTCTGGAATCGTTTAAAGCCCTTTGAACAGTTTGTAGTTTGCACTGAAACTGTCTTTTGGACCTTGAACCGTTTGGTCCCCATTGAAGTCCATTATATGGAGAAAATCCTGGAATGTTTTCATCAAAAACCTTAATTTCTTTTCGACTGAAGAAAGAAAGACATGGACATCTTGGATGTAAATTATCAGCAAAAGTTAACTACTCCTTTAATCAATAAGCATTTACTAAAGAAGTAAAATGTTATAAGAAATTATTCTTGTTTTCTGGGGAATAAATTAAGTGAGTTTTTGCATAAAACAAGGAAAATTATCTGCCAATGGGGTAAGAAAAATACCCACCAAAAAAACTTGTTTCCATTTGAATTAAGATATCATTTCGTATGTCATTTTACTTATCTATGCTTCTTGATATAAGAATTTTTTAGATATCTGGATTGCATGGAAACAAGTCAAAAATACTAGCATTTTTTGCATTGTATACAGTGTCCCCAAGAAGTATTTGGACATTTTGTGCACACTTAATGTGTATTAAATAACAAATATGAAAAAGCTTTAAGACAAACCATGTGTAAATTCATAAGTCGACAGCATTGCTGAGTATTTCTTCCTTAAACTGCAGTGAACTAAAGACCGCTGGTGTTTCTGACGTCACAAACAACCTCGTAACCAATCAGATCAACGTGTGATCGTTAACCAGTGGTTTCATTGGCTTTGTACTGGATTCTGCACATTGACTCAAGCTAAATCTAATCTAAATCTAATTTATCAGAAAACATACTTTTCTAACTTAACATGCAAAAAGTTTAAAGATTAAGTAAAAGTAAATAGTGCAGATAACCATTACTTTAATATTTTGTGAGTTACTCATTCAATGCTTTACACACACACTGAGGTAATGAGATCAGCTGAGTAGCTCGGACTAAATCGATTCATTTCCTGCAGGCCAGACTGGTGACCTTAAACCACACTGACCTGCTTCAGAAAGGAAGATCAGCTTCATCCGATCTACAAATATCTGACACAAACAGCGTCTTGATTTGACTAATGGACTATGTGGGTGGAGACTGGAGTTTGCTCTAACGGAAGCAGGTACGTCACATTGCCGTCATTGCATGCAAGTTCCTGGTATCCTCACGCAGATAACAAGAAACCAGGTTTAGAGATAAACGTGCACGCACAGCCAAACTGTTTTCTCAGTACAAATATCTAAATGAAGAGTTCAGATGCAAAAGCCTCTAAATGCCATTTGAAATTTTCTTCTTTAATGATGATTTTTATCAAACTTGTATATTTAAGTTCAGTAATTTCACTTAAATGGCAATGATAATTACCTATTAATTGTTATTTAAGTGAAATTACTGAACTTAAATATACAAGTTTGATAAAAATCATCATTAAAGAAGAAAATTTCAAATGGCATTTAGAGGCTTTTGCATCTGAACTCTTCAAATATTCTTCCTCAAGATTTATTATTTACAATCAATAACTTGAGATACAAAAATATGTAAAATGAGAAGTATTGTTTCCTAAAAATATATACATAGAGAGATTTTTGCTGAGTTATATGCCAATGGGGTTAGAAAAATAAACAGTTTTTTATGACCCCGCTGACAGATATGTTCTTATTTTAAGCATACTCACTTCATTTTTGATACAGTTTTCACAACCAGACTTGAAGTAATTCAAGTAAATTTAGATATTTATACTGGAAAACAAGACCTATTTTGGAAGTGCAGTCACGGTTGGTGATTTATCCATCACATTAGCTTAACAATTTATGATGATCCCTTCTAAACAGTGTGATAACTGCAAAGTTTGCATGTTTATTTGCAGTGTGTGGTTTTTCCATCTGGGGTCACAGTAAATAAAGGCTGATTCCCAGCTAACAAAATGATGTGTAACACTTTATTTTAAGGTGGTGTAGTTGCACGTTACTACATAACAGTAAATTATGCATCATTACAAGTAATTAACCTCAAACCAAACCCTCACTCTATGTAGTTAATATTAATATTAATATTACTCAGTACTTATTTGAGTAAGTACAATGTAACTTAAAATAAAGTGTAACCAAATTATGCCGACGTCTTTCTCTCTTTTCTGCCTTTTAGTTTTAGTAATTTCACTAAATGAACTGTTTTTCCACCTCAATAAGCTCCAACTCCAACATGATCCGCTCTCGTTCAGTCGCTATTGCTTGTAGTAACCTAGCCGCGAGGAATCTAAACACAGTGGAACATTAAAACCCTCCGCCGCCAACTAGTGTTTCGGAGCAGTACTGCAGAGCAACAAAGACCTGAACGCAGAAGTATAAATGCTCACGACGGCATCACCCATGTGCATAGCCTACGCCGTACACTACGGCATACCCTCGACGCAGAAGTATAAATTGGCCTTAAAGGATTAGTTTACTTTTTAAAAAACTTTTGCTGATAATTAGGGTTGGGTATCGATTGAATTTGAACGATTCTGATTCCTTGTTTTGATTCCGGTTCCTAAAGATTCTCGATTCCGATTCTTTTAAGAGGCAGGGTCAAAAAAGTTTAGCTAACCTTGCTAACCAACAGTCTTTCTGAAGGAAATACTCCTTCTGTCACAAATACTCAAATTTTGCATTTTGCCGAGATTTCGTTATTTTAGAAAAGTGAAGCCACACTTTGGACCGCCGACGTAAGTTACTCATGTTCAACTCGTGCAGTTATGCCAACAGACGCTTCTTCGTTGGTGTTGTTCAGCGGTTTCTTCTTCCAGTCGGCGGACTGTGAATATCGAAACTAGGAATCGAAATTTTAACTTTTGAACGATTTCGGGAAAAACGAAAAGTTAGTCAATACTCGATTCTCGATACCCAACCCTACTGATAATTTACTCACCCCCGTTTCATCCAAGATGTCCATGTCTTTCTTTCCTCAGTCGAAAAGAAATGTAGGTTTTTGATGAAAACATTCCAGGATTTTTCTCCATATAATGGACTTCAATGGGAACCAGACTGTCCAAGGTCCAAAAGACAGTTAATAACAGTTTCAGATGCAGCTTCAAATGTCTTTAAACAACACCAGACGATGAATAAGGGTCTTATCATGCGAAACGATCGGTTATTTCAAAACTTATTCCAAAAATGTAACTTTTCTAAGGACAAATGCTAGCCTTGCTCTATTCTGTGAGGTTACGTAATACGTAACTACGTAATTACGTTCAAAAGGTCACGGGCGACGTAGCCGGAAGTACAGAATCAAAATCGTCCGACATCGTTGTTTTACCTTTTAATTCCTTTTTTTGTAAGCGGCGTTTGAGTTAGTTTGCACGGTCAACCTATGCGTTCAACTTGTAAACTTCCGGCTACGTCGCCCGTGACCTTTTGAACGTAATTAGAAAAGTTACATTTTTGGAATAAGTTTTGAAATAACCGATCGTTTCGCATGATAAGACCCTTATTCATCGTCTGGTGTCGTTTAAAGACATTTGAAGCTGCACTGAAACTGTCTTTTGGACCTTGAACCGTTTGGTCCCCATTGAAGTCCATTATATGGAGAAAACCTTAAACCTTAATTTCTTTTCGACTGAGGAAAGAAAGACATGGACATCTTGGATGACATGGGGGTGAGTAAATTATCAGCAAAAGTTTTTTCAAAAGTGAACTACTCCTTTAAAGAAGGTGCATGTACACAAATAACAAAATAAAGCATGACGGGTCCCCTTCAGTGGAAACATTCCATTTTATCACTACGCAAACAATGTTCAATGAACACGTATAAAAGCAAGTAGTAACATTTTTTAAATGATGAATATTCATCTGGAAAAAAAATGTTCCATGAACAATATATTAATAACACCTTTGAGAGAAAGTGTACCTTGCCAAAGTTGTGTGCGGGTTCCCTGTGAGATGGCTGTACCTTGATGTGCTCCTCGAGCTGGGCCTGGTGTTGCCTCAGCAGGTTCTGGTGCTGCTTCTGGAACTCAGAGATGAGCAGCTGTTTCTGGATCTGCTGCTGTCTCTGGATCAGAAGCAGCTCGCGCTGTAACTGCTTCTCCCAGTCGTCCGAATCACGGTCCCAGTCCAACATGCTGACCTCAGATGTGCCCGACGCGGACAACCCCTCCGAGTCTGCGAGAGAGAGACGGCACAAATACACTCAGGAAAGAGTTTAAACTAGATTAAATGCAATAAAGCCATCAAATTTGCTTCATTCCAGCTAAATGGACAAGTACCGTTTAAACGCCTCAGTTTTACAGATCTCATATGTGAAGGATTGCAGTGTTAGCTGCATGAAAATGCCAAATTAAAACCCTTCTTAAGTGTCTTTAAATAAACCCAAGGGCAATTACGGGCATAATCTACAGGGAGGGTCTTTTTATGGGGTCTGTTTCAAATGCCTTGAGCGTAAACACAGAGGTATTTCAACAACCGAAATCTTATTTGAGCTCAATCTAAACTAAGCGAGACACCGTGTGACTGTCATGTTTGAGCTGCACTTAAAGTATTTTTACACAGGTGAAAAAAGGAAAGGCGTTTAGTGCAGTATATGTGTGTGTTTAGAGAGAGAATGATCTGCTCTCACGCCCTAAAAAAGCAGCGCTCGTAAACATGACCTTAATCTGCTGCTCCAATCTCCTCACTAATAAACCTATTACTGCATATGCTTTTCTTTATAAAGCACACAAACACAACCGGAGCCAGGTATGAGCTAACAATGAGATCAAGATTTCAGTATATCAGTATACAGTCTCTCAAATAGTTTCTTCGATGTTGAGGAAAAATATGCTTTGGTAGAATATGCTTTGGCACTTTAAAAATGCTGGGCATATTTTAACCCAACTTTGGGTCAAATGTGGACAAACCCAAAGGTTGGGTTAAAAATGCAATTTAAAAATGTAACCCAATGGCTGGGTTCGTCCATATTTAACCCAAAGTTGGGCTAAAACAACCCAGCATTGTAAATATGTTTTTTATGTCATAATCACAACTAAGTATCTCATTATTTTTACTTTTAATGGCATAATTATTACGTTTTATGTAGTTATTATATAACTACATAATTATTACGTTTTACGTTTTATGTAGACATAGTATCTCATAATTTCGAATTATAATTCTGATTTAGTGTGTCAGAATTCTGTCTTTTTGTTATAAATATTTCTTTTTTTCACAATTATGACTTTTATGTGATAGTTATGACTTGTATGCCATTATTTCAACTTTTTCCTCATAATTATGACTTATTATGTCATAATTTTGACTTTGTATGTGATAGTTGTGACTAAGTATGTCACAATTGTGACTTTTATCTCATATTCTTTTCATTTGTATGCCATAATTATGACCTTTTTATCATTATTACTAGTCTCGTGATTTTGATGTCATATGACTTAATTTTTATAGTTATGAGTTAGTATGACAATTTCGACTATATGATTATGATTTTAGTGTCATAAATCTGACATTTATTTCAGAATGTTTACTTTTTATGTCTTTGTAACGGTCACCAGCCGAGTGCCCTTGAAAGCCACCCACAACAGTCTACGGTCATTCCCTCACAAACTACATCTCCCATAATTCTCTGCCTGAACCCATTGCCACTCATTGTTTTCACCTGTGTTTCATCTTCTTGTTTGCTCACCCTATATAAGCCTGGTTATTTTATGTCATTCCTTGCGAAGTCTTGTTTAGTGTCACACTGCACTTCCAAGCATTCTCCTGGTTTTCGTAATCTTTTTGTTTATTCTTCTGTCCGGTTTCTTGGTTTCCTCTGTTTTTGCCTATATGACCCTGTTATTGTTTAGACTGATTACCCAGTGTTTATGACCTTTGTCTGTTTCTGAATACAATTGACAGTAATAATTCTGACTTTAGTTTTTACCTTATAATTATAGTATGTCAAAATTGACTTTTTATGTCATAATTATGATTAACCAAAGTATGTGGTTACATTTTATTTTGATGGTCCACTTTAGACATTCTACTTAGGCCCTGTTCACACGAGAATGCTCACAGGTGAAAACGTAAAAATATTTTATCGGATGTGCCTTTCGTTTACACTGCGACAGTGTTTTTGGGGCTTAAAAACGCAAAAAAGTGTAACCACCCTCCAGAGTGGAAATCTTAAAAACGCTCCACCAACGCGTTCCCGTCTAAAGGGTAAAAACGCAAAAGGTTGTACGCAGGCGCGCGGACTTGGTGTTGTTGTGTGGCAGTGCTCCACATCGCCACCTAGCTGCCTGGAGTGCATACTACATCGAATTTCACACACTTTTGCGTCACCATATGCACGCGGATTTCCCACCCAAAACGCTCGTCTAAACGCAGAATAAAAAGTGATAACGCAACGTCACTTTTGCGTTTTCTCTTCAGAATCATATCCGTGTAAACATAGCCTAACTGTAAGTAACTTTGCAACCCCATGCCACCTGTCATTATACAATACTAGCCAACTGTTGGGTGTTAGTAGAATAAATTGACATATAATTGCAAAGTCAGAATATCTGTCGGAGGAGCATCAAAATAACGTGTTATTTGAAAGGAGTAGTTCACTTTTAAAAAAAACTTCTGATAATTTCTGATAATTTACTCGCCCCCATGTCATCCAGGATGTCCATGTCTTTCTTTCCTCAGTTGAAAAGAATTTAAGGTTTTTGATGAAAACATTCCAGGATTTTCTCCATATAATGGACTTCAATGGGAACCAAACGGTTCAAGGTCCAAATGAGAGTTTCAGTGCAGCTTCAAAGGGCTTTAAACGACACCAGACAATGAATAAGGGTCATGACTCGAAAAAAAATTTGTTCATTTTGATGAACGAGTTCGAACAGGAGAGTCACGAACACTCATCACAGAACAGAGCAAGGCGAGCATTTGTACTTATAAAACTTAAACTTTTTATTTATTTTTGAATTGACAGATCGTTTCGCTTGATAAGACCCTTATTCATCATCTGGAATCGTTTAAAGCCCTTTCAAGCTGCACTGAAAGTGTCTTTTGGACCTTGAACCGTTTGGTTCCCATTGAAGTCCATTATATGGAGAAAAATCCTGGAATGTTTTCATCAAAAACCTTAATTTCTTTTCGACTGAAGAAAGAAAGACATGGACATCTTGGATGACACGGGGGTGAGTAAATTATCAGCAAAAGATTTTTTTTAAAAGTGAACTAATCCTTTAAGAAGACAATCGACTAATACTCTATAGAGCTAGTGACATATAGTTGCAAAGTTAATTATAGCAAGTAGAATTACTAAAGTGTTTATTATGTGGCTGAAATTGGACTTCCATAAGAGATCTCAATGATGTGCTGGGGTTTGACAAGATACCAAAATCTCCAATCGTAATATGAACTCAAACATTTGTATCTAATGATCAAACAATCTGAGCTGCTCTCCACACTCACTCATTTTATACCGCACTGTAGCTCTATACTCTAAACACTCTAAACCTCCCTCTGGTCACACAGTTATTCTTTGATGCTGGGTTATGGGGGTAACCATGCAATAGGCGACTCAGAATATCAGCATCACGTCCACGTTCGGGCGATGAAATAAAAACCGCCTCGTTGTGAAACCATCTCTTGCCACAGAGACTCCACCGGGCCCCCGGCCCAGAATACACAAACCACAAAAAGCACAGGCCACCAAAACAGAACCACAACACTGGCCAAAGGTGTCAATCGACACCAAAAATACTGCGGCATGTGCTCCGAACGCAATAAAAGACACCCGTTTGACAACTCTCTGACCTTCATTTCAAAAACATCTCATCGTTTGTTTCTACAAAACAGCGTGCATTATAAATAAAGCCTTCCGGTATGTAGTTACGTGAGGAGTTAACTCAGACGGAACGATAACCGGGGCTAATCTTAGCATCCTAATGCCTTAAGCCCAAAATACGGTGGCTAAGAATAGTCAGACTTGAAGTCAAGAGGCCAGAACATTCAACATGCAGCCGCGGGCAGTAAGGGAGCGCAGAGGGGTAAATAACTGCCCTCTCACGCCATTCCTAAAGCGGGACGCTCACAAACACACCTGAGCACAACACAACCCTGTCAAAAGATGTTTCTCAGAAACGACAAATCAAGTATGAAGTAAACACGCATCCACCTGCTAAATACTGATCTCACTTGACAACATTAGATTCAGCAAGTGACAGTAAAGAATAAGATTTCTATTTCTGAACTTTCTATTTGTTAAAAATCCTTGTTTTTAACGATCAATTTGCAGTTTGCACAAAAAAAAAATATTTATCAAATTTTTCTTGAGCAGCAAATCATCATTACGCTCTCAGAAAAAAGGTACAAAAGCTGTCACTGGGGCTGTACCTTTTCAAAAGGTAAACTTTTGTCCATTTTAGGTGTTAATATGTACATTTTAGGTGCTAATAAGTACTTTTAAGGTGCTAATATGTCCGTTGTAGGTGCTAATATGTACATTTTAGTACATTTCAGGTGTTAATTTACATTTTAGGTGCTAATATGTACATTTTAGGTGGTTATATGTACATTTTAGGTGCTAATAAGTACATTTTAGTTGCTAATATCTCCATTTTAGGTGCTAATATGTCCATTTTAGTACATTTCAGGTGTTAATATTTACATTTTAGTTGCTAATATGTCCATTTTAGTACATTTCAGGTGTTAATATTTACATTTTAGGTGTTAAAATGTACATTTTAGTTGCTAATATGTCCATTTAAGGTGGTAATATGTCCATTTTAGTACATTTCAGGTGTTAATATGTCCATTTTAGGTGTTAATATGTACATTTTAGGTGTTAATATGTCCATTTTAGGTGCTAATATGTACATTTTAAGGTGGTCATATGTACATGTTAGGTGCTAATAAGTACATTTTAGTTGCTAATATGTCCATTGTAGGTGCTAAAATGTCCATTTTAGTACATTTCAGGTGTTAATATTTACATTTTAGGTGGTTATATGTACATTTTAGGTGCTAATATGTCCATTTTAGGTGCTAATGTGTCCATTTTAGTACATTTCAGGTGTTAATATTTACATTTTAGTTGCTAATATGTCCATTTTAGTACATTTCAGGTGTTACTATTTACATTTTAGGTGTTAAAATGTATATTTTAGTTGCTAATATGTCCATTTAAGGTGGTAATATGTCCATTTTAGTACATTTCAGGTGTTAATATTTACATTTTAGGCGTTAATATGTCCATTTTAGGTGCTAATATGTCCATTTTAGTACATTTCAGGTCTTAATATTTACATTTTAGTTGCTAATATGTCCATTTTAGTACATTTCAGGTGTTAATATTTACATTTTAGGTGTTAAAATGTACATTTTAGTTGCTAATATGTCCATTTAAGGTGGTAATATGTCAATTTTAGTATATTTCAGCTGTTAATATGTCCATTTTAGGTGTTAATATGTACATTTTAGGTGTTAATATGTCCATTTTAGGTGTTAATATGTACCACAAAGGTACCAATATGCAGCCTGGGTACAAAAGTGTACCTTTGAAAAGGTACAGCCCCAGTGACAGCTTTTGTACCTTTTTTTCTGAGAGTGTAGAGGGATTTCTGAAGGATCATGTGACACTGAAGACTAGAGTAATGATGCTGAAAATTCAGCTTTGCAATGCGAGTTCAAAAGGAATTCATTTGTTAGATGTTTGCGCTTATATGCGCATACAACCCATGTATGACAATGGGGGTTGTGCTTGCAATTTTACCTTCTTAGTGTGCACATTTAGTGCATAGTATAAATATGCTAAATGGGATGCACTTGGATGTGCTCTCATTCCCTGCAGACACGTCAGGTGTCTAAGAGAAACAGCTCCTCACAGTCGACACACATGCTAAAAACAGGAGTTGCACAGTTGAACTCTTACGCTACTAACTCATACAGTTACCAAACTGGAGATTAATAGCTCTGTATGAAACATACTGTACTCCTCTCACTGCAAAAAAAAAAACCCTGTATATCTGTCTTGTTTTCCATTATAAGTATTGAATCAAGATACAGTATATTTACTTGAGAAGGAAAATTACATAAGATATTAATATCTTAAGCCATTTTGATTTTCAAGTAAATCTTAATTTAGGAATGTTAGATAGTGGAAAACAAGAATTTGCATACATACTTGGGATAAAAATGCTGGATTGCACTCAATGTGCAAATAATTGAGCTAATTTGACTGGTTAAAATGTTTATAATTGCACAATTCATACTATTTTTTTTAATTATGCAATAGGCAAAAAATGTTTTTAGTCCATCTTTGTGAAATAAATGAGGATACTATATTGACCTGAGATCTGCATCCTGCTGCTGGATTTTATCTGTAAAGGGCCTGACTAACAGATCTGTTGTTTATATACAACAGGGTCATGAGGAAATATAATGTGAACCATGTGGTAATTTGCTTTTGTTAAATGAAACAATGGCTTATTATGTGACATATGAAACTATCTGACATCTCAATATAGATATGACCTGATGAATCATCTACAAATAGTGTGATGTGAAACTTACTCGCATCACACAAGAAAACAGAAACAGACTGCATCTCGATATGAACTCAAACACTTCACTTCTCAAGAGCACATGACCTGAGCTCAAGCTCTATACTCTTACTATATTGTTACCGATTTTCCCGGCAAAAAAGTCCCGAGTCACAAATCAGTTTAGCTGTTCACACATTGTCAATAAAAAAACTATGAATATATGAAAATGACAACATATAGCCCATTTAAAACAAGAACAAATATCTGCCAATTGTGTCAAAGTGGTGAAAACTAGTTTTACTTTTCTTACCCCACTGGCAGATATTTGTTGTTTTAAGCAAAAACACTTTTTTTTTTAAATTAAAAGCTAAAACATCAAAGTAAAATTACTAAGCACATCATTTGCATTGTAGATGGAGATCTAAATGAAGACTAACCACCTGCGTTTGAGCTTTACACTTGACAAAATAGCTCTATATTGAACATCAACAACACATTTGTCTCTCGGAATTCCAGTGACGGAATTCTCAAAGAAACATCAATTTAAAATTCGAATGACGGAATTCTCAAAGAAACATCAATTTAAAATTCCAATGACGGAATTCTCAAAGAAACATCAATTTAAAATTCGAATGACGGAATTCTCAGAGAAACATCAATTTAAAATTCCAATGACGGAATTATCAAAGAAACATCAGTTTAAAATTCCAATGACGGAATTCTCAGAGAAACATCAATTTAAAATTCCAATGACGGAATTCTCAAAGAAACATCAATTTAAAATTCCAATGACGGAATTCTCAAAGAAACATCAATTTAAAATTCCAATGACGGAATTCTCAGAGAAACATCAATTTAAAATTCCAATGACGGAATTCTCAAAGAAACATCAATTTAAAATTCCAATGACGGAATTCTCAAAGAAACATCAATTTAAAATTCCAATGACGGAATTCTCAGAGAAACATCAATTTAAAATTCGAATGACGGAATTCTCAGAGAAACATAAATTTAAAATTCCAATGACGGAATTCTCAAAGAAACATCTGCGATTATGTTGCTCATGTCAGTAGGTGTGTTCAGGTGTTGTACCTGATCCGACGGCAGCGGCGTGTGTGTCCAGGCTTCTCCTCCTCCACTCTGCAGTGATGCTGGAGTCAGCTTCATAAATGGTCTGCAGCATAACTTGAGCTTCAGACCTCGGTCTCAGCGTCCCGACTTCCTCTCCTTTGATCCGTCTCTCTTGCAGAGGGGTTCTGCCGTTTCCGGGTCTCTTCTGTGTTTTCTTCTAGCCGTCCCTGCTGAGTTTCATCAGGTAGATCAGTGAGGAAATATCACAGGTGAGAACGTCCTCAACCTCTGTACAGGAAACTCTCTCTCTGTCTCACGCTTTCTCTCTCTGTTTCTCTTGCTAACCGCCCGCTCTCTCTCTCTCTCTTTCTCTCGCTTAGGTGCCAAGAATAGCAGCAGGACCAGCCCAGGACAGAAATAGGCCGGGCCAGACCAGGGGAGTAGAGCAGCGGCCAGACGCTCAAAATAGCAACACAAAAACACAGCTGTCTGCCTTCATCTCTTCCCTGCGCACTCTCTTTCTCCTTTCATTTATCTCTGCGTGAAGAAAACCACCAGATCGTATTTCACCACAAAACCAAAAGAAAGGACCAGGCAACTAGGTTTAACGTCAAGAAAATGAAGCCTGAAAGGAAATTAAGCACATTTCATTCCACTAAATTCTCATGACTGTGATTAATATTATTGGTGTAACATGAGAAATAATGAAACGAGAAAAAAAAAACACTCACATTAATGCCAAAAAATAGCCTTTTTGTTACTTCAACAAGAAAAATTCTCAGTTTTGTAAGAATTATATTGTAAATTATTTTATTTTATTATTGTTTCAACATTAATTAAATTCAGTACACATTTTGTGCTTTATGATTGAAGCTGTATTATATATATTCAAATTTCTTATATTGGAGCAATGACCATTCTCATTCTTAAAAAATATTCAAATGAAATCAATCGTAATATTATGAATATGAATGAAATGTAACTTTTTGTCTTGTAATTCAATTTATTTTATTATTATAATTCAAATCAAACAAAAATAAATCTAGTATATATTTTGTACTGTATACTTAATAATTTGTGGAGAAGTATGGTTAACTGTCACAATAATGTTACATTGCATAATATATATATATATATATATATATATATATATATATATATATGTTTTGGCTGTCAAATGATTAATCGCATCCAAAATAAAAGTTTATTTTTACATAATATAGGCCTATGTGTGTGCACTGTGTATACTTATTTTATATATATATATATATATATATAAATACACACACATGCATGTATATTTAAGAAAAAATATTAAATATATATATATATATATATATATATAATATTGATAAATTATATATAAATCTATATACAGTATATACATGAAAATATTTCTTAAATGTATATATATGTATATGTGTGTATTTATATATAAAAAATAATTCTACACAGTGCACCCACATATATTATGTAAACACAAACTTTTATTTTGGATGCAATTAATCGTTTGACAGCCCTAATATATTTATAAATATATGTATATATATTCTTATTTTGAATTACAATTTTATTAAATGTCTTGATTTCTTTCTTTTGATGTTGTGGTAAAATATGCGAGATCTTGACGGGTTTGGTGAGGTTCCTGATGACCCTTTGAATCTCTATCTCTCTCTCTCTCTCTCTCTCTCTCTCTCTCAGTTTCTCTCTGCTCATGTCAGACTGTTTCTCCTCAAGCTCCTGTGGACAATCTTTCTGTCAGTGAGTGTTTTTCTTCTGTTTGATCTTTCCTCTTATCTGTTTACACCCCGGGTCTGTCTCATGTTCTTGTCTTCTCTTCACCTGTTTCTCTCAGAGGTTTAATCTCAGTAAAAGCACTGGCCGATTTCAAAGGGAGATTCGGACACGTTCTGTGACATCAAGCAGTCGACTTCCTGTTTCCCTTCATCAGTTAACAAACCAAGTCTTTGATTTTATATCTGTAAAATGGCATTTGACTTAAAATAGATAAAAAAGTGTCTTTACTCGAGGTATAGTAAGAATTTGGTGCCTTTCTTTGTGATGAATCTGGTGTGTACAATTTCCAGCTGATTAACATCACATTATAAAACATCAAATATGAGCCGTCTGATCATAGTTTGAGACGTTGTTGAGATTTCTTCTGAAACTATAGAGGAGATACGGAAGTCATTTGGGAAATGTCTCCATTTAAATCTCATTTCTCGAGGAGAAACGTCTGAGATATCAGAGATTATTCTTTCCTCCAAATTCCCTAATGAAATACACATTTAATATTGGACCAACTGTTAACAAATAACGTGAACAGATTTGTGCTCAGATTTGATGTATTTCCTTTTGAAACATGAAATTGTGTCAAAAACAAAACTTTTGCTGTGGCTGATATAAGGAGGATTTTTCTCATTCTACATTTTAGCATTAGACAAATATTTGGATACAGTAAAAGTCTCTGACCTGAGTGCGAGTCATCAATAACTTTGAAATGTTTTACTGGCAGAAAATTCTTTATTTTAAATGTTTATTTTTGCCAGCTTTTAGATTTACACCAGAAAGAAATAATTTAAAAATGAAAAAAAAAAAATATATGAATAGATAGATACTGCACTGTAAAAAAATATATTGATGGTTTAACTTAAAAAAGTAAGTAACCTGGTTGCCTTAAAATTTTAAGTTGATTGAACTGGAAAAAGTGAGTTAATACAATGAAGGAGATTAATTTAATCATCAGAAACTCAAAATTATATGTTATCTGAACTAAATGTTGAATTATTTAAGTTGATTTGACAAAAGAAAAAATGTTGTGATTACTACACTGTAAAAAAATATTGTTGGTTTAACTTAAAAAAGTAAGTAACCTGGGTTGCCTTAACATTTTAAGTTGATTGAACTGGAAAAAGTGAGTTAATACAATGAAGGAGATTAATTTAATCATCAGAAACTCAAAATAATAGTTTTATCTCAACTAAATAAATTATTATAAAGTTGATTTGACAAAAGAAAAAATGTTGTGATAACAAATCTTGAAAATATTTTTTACAGTGTAGATAGGTGGATACTATAGAAATATTGATATACTGTGTACCAAAGATAGATAGATAGATAGATAGATAGATAGATAGATAGATAGATAGATAGATAGATAGATAGATAGATAGATAGATAGATAGATAGATAGAGATATAGATAGATGTCCTCCTCGATTTCACAGGCTCTTTAAACAACATCACGAAAGCGCCACTAAACTTCCCTGTGGGGAAAACACCTGAGCGTCATCAGCCAGTTTAAGGAAAACTAGTTGATGAAACTCCGGCTCCTGACTGGAATCCCCTCAGGCCTGCCGATGAATCAGGAAACAGAGGAAATCTTTCTGTACTCCAGAAAAAGCACAATTCCCAGGAGTGAGACATTCCTAATGCATGACAGAGATGAAGTTCCTCTGTGGCCACAAACTGCATCACAACTTTATTTTCTCAAGCATGCATTTTTTAGTGAAGTTTGCTAAGGCACACTTTAACCCAGCACCTTAGCAACCACCCAGAACACCCTAGCAACCACATGACAACATGCTGAAAGTAAAAACCATTCACAAAACCTTTGGCAACTGCATAGTGCAAACAGTACATCATTGTGAGGTGAACTGATTGCTTGGCTCTTGTCTTGAACACACACACACACACACACACACCTATAGATTCCCTGCTCTTCCTCTCCAGACAAAACAATGGCAGTGTTGTTAAATAGGTCATCTGCACAGGTCTGACAGAGAAACACACTCCCAAGGTAAAAGGGGGCAGATATAAATAACCACGACAGCTAAACAGCCTGTTCTATCTATAAAGACCTTCAGCGGTTTCTCTGAATACAAGCGCACTCACAACTGCATATTGCACAGTGTGTCCTATATATAAAGCAAGAAATAGGCAGTTTGTGAATGCTTCTTGTGTAACTGAGACAGTACTTGTGTTGTGTCGACGGTAAGAGTATCGGCATGATAATATGTGAAACGGTATGCATGATTACGTCATTTCAGACAACAGCTGCATTGTTGTGACGCGATGTCACTACTCACTACATTACATTATCAAATAAATATTCGTATTTTGCCTTCTCGATTTTTTGATTTTAGGCATCAAAGTCCACCACTGTAAACGCATTTAGATGTTTAAACACACAAACACACTCATAAACGCACACATGCATCTGTGGAGCATTTCGTGTCAGATTGCAACAGCGCCATCTTGAGGCTAAAATACACAAGTACAACAGTGTTTGTGTGTGTGTGCTTCTGTTCAAAAGGGGTCAGCAATACATTTTTTTAAAGAAATAAATTATTTTATTCAGCAAGAATGAATTAAATTGATCAAACGCGACATACTATTATTTTGATACCAGATTAGATTTTATTTTGAACTTTCCATTCACCAAATAATCCTGAAAATGTATCGCAAAGCTGTTTCTAACATTGATAATAATCATAAATGTTTGTTGAGCAGCAAATCATCATATAGAGTGATTTCTGAAGGGTCATGTGACACTGAAGACTGGAGTAATAATGCTGAAATATTTTAAATTAAAATAATATTTCACAATATAGATAGATAGATAGTTAGATAGATGGATGATGGATTTAAATTAAAATAATATTTCACAATATTACTGTTTTTAGTGGATTTTTAATCAATTGAGTGCATCTTTGGTGAGCAGAATAGACTTTTTAACTACACGTGTGTTATGTGAGTGTGTTTTTTATGTGTGTGTGAAGGAAACATCATGCATATGTCAGTGTGTCAGGAATGTTACTGGTCTCCACCCTTGGAGATTTGAGGATGGATGAGCCAATATAAAGCTGAGGTTTTCTGTGTTGACATCACTCAAACAATCACACCATCTGCGTCACTCGACACACACTCATGAACTCATTTCAAAACCTCTCGGTCGAGACTCAGTCACACAATACAGGCTACAATATCAGCGTCTACACCGATACACACTATATATAGACCTTATGCACCAGAGAAACGTGGGCGCCGTCATCTTTAGAATATTGTCTTTGAACTTCCGGTTCTGTATATTTCTATGGCATCGCTGTCGAGGAGTAATTAGCTGGTGAAGTGGATTTGCTTATTGTAGAGTTAACAAAAGTTATCATGAGCATTGTAATGTTTATCAAAAGCAGATGTCGAACGGGAATTTTTTTTTACGAGCAGTTCATTCATACCTATGCAAGATCGCTGTGAAAATACAAACCGGAAGTCAAAAACGAGCGCAGTGCTGAAAAGGGGCGGGGCTACATAAGGACCCACGTAATAGTCATCAAAACTATTTTAATCAGTAACTAATCCGTCTTTCATTTATATCTACTTTCAGTCCAGGTGTGTGTGAGAGCATGGGAGAGGTCAAAAGGTCAAGCTACTACGCTTCTTTTATGGCATCAATGGTTCCATGAAGAACCTTTTATATTTCCATTCTACAAGATTCTCTAAAGTGGAAAAGGTTCCATAGAATTTTAAAATGTTCTTTACACTAAGAATTAATGTGTTCTAAAACTATTGTGCATTGCTGTGAAACCTTCATTTGATTTATTTCTAGGAAATGACATCATTTATAAAGCTCTGCGTATATGTGAGTGATGGAGAGGTACTGCTCACCGAGAAGTCAGCCAATGATGAAGAGCGTACAGCGTCACGTGAGTCCTTTAACAACAAGAATAAACACATTAAACCACTTAGAGATGCAGATTATACCACAGCCGCTTGTGTAGTTGCATGCAAATCAATAATTGCTCTCAGCCAATACAATGGTTGCATATTTTTCCTGTGCATTTTGTTATTTTGCATTTCATGTGATGGCTGTTGAGTAATAGTGTCAGACAGTGGCATATTCACACTCTTCCTCATCAGACCTGTTGATATAACCTGTGGATCTGATCTTCACCCTGTTGCCGTATTCACCTGTGGATGAATCATGTGAAACCTCTGTGCACCAACGCCTTCAAACTGAGATGCTCTGGAGGAACAGCTTCAGTGTGTGTGTGTGCTGTCAGTTCTATTTATAGCTCAGTGATGTGTCCCTCATGCATCCTATGAGGAGACGATGCTGGATATATTCTGTACCTGTTACCAAGAGCTCGAAACCCTTCTTTAAGGGGAAACTACAAAAAGGATTCAGATTTATTTGCATGCAATATATGTTTTTACAGTTTACTATTATTAGTACTGATTAGACTGTATTATAAATCATTATATATGCTACATTTATGGGATTCTCATGTAAAATTGCTCTAATTAATTCCATTTAATTGCATACATTCATTAGTGCATATGTCACATAAATACATGACCCTTTTATGCAAAAGCAACAGTTTTTAAACAAAATCTATCTATCTATCTATCTATCTATCTATCTATCTATCTATCAATCTATCTATCTATCTATCTATCTATCTATCTATCTATCTATCTATCTATCTATCTATCTATCTATCTATCTATCTATCTATCTATCTATCTATCTACAGTATCTATATCTATAGGTGGATGATAAAATGAGACATGCACTCACCTGAATAAGTATATGTCTGTTCCTACTCGTTAATGGGTTGCTATGAGAGAAACGATGGCGATCACACACTCATTCATAAAAACGCACCCGCGGATCTCCAGCGCGCGCCGTAGACGAACCCACGCGTGTGCGCGCGCAGCATCCAGACGCGAGATCTAAAAATAGCGCGTCGCGCAACAGAAGAGATGTAGAATCTCAACACACTGACTGCTTCTCACTTCACACTGCTGTCTTATATCACTCACGAGATGCTGACAGTGAAAATAGCGTGATGCAATGTGTGTGACATGATGACCATGAGCCCTTAGGACATCTATCGTTCTAATGCACAGGCTTTCACAGATAAAATCTATTTTGCTTTATTTTAATTTTATTTAGATTATCAGCATCAAAGTTAAAGTTGAATTGTTGAAAAACTGTTCCAATAGGCTAGAAAAGACAAATAAATCACAAATTAGATACTTTTGTCTGAGCCGTTGAACTTTGTCATCATTAAATCTTACTGTGGGGAAAAAATAATGTCCATATGTTATTTGTCAACTATAAGCTACCCATATATGCCTAATCATGACATTCAGCATGAGTGAGCAATTATTTAATGCATTCCATTTTTATCATCACTAATATGCAGAACAAGACTTCTGTAGGCATCACATCAATTCATGTGCATTCATCTCCTCGTCTATTTCTGTTTTTGTGGTCATAAACATAAATAAGGTCCAAAGTTTATTAAGGATCACTCAGTGACGCCATGTCTCGCGTCAGCCGGTCTTTATCTTGTTGTGTGACAGATCATGGAGGAAACACGTTAACATTTACTATAAAATGAAGACATATAATAGGCTTACCTGGAATCTGAAATGGAATAGAAATGTGAAGATTATTCTTCATTTGCCCTTCAGTGTGTACCTCTGATGATGGTTCTTCATCACCCCTGTCTGCAGTGTGACCCGAGCGGGGCTTTGAGCAACTGGAAACAGGTAATGCTAATGCAGTAAAGCTGATTCATATTGAATTTATTTATATAAAAATAATATATATCAAGCTTTCACACCACGCGACCCATTACAAAGATGTGTCCTAAAACATTTTGCCTATGGTCCCATCAAGTTATTTGTTCAAAATGTCCAGTTTTCAAACTTTTGGTTGTAGCCTACAATTTAATTATTCTGCAAACATGAATGTTGTCAAAACATTCTAAAACAAAAAAAGGTGCTAGGCTACATTCATTAATGTGCTAACGTTGTATAAACATTATTAAAGACTGATAACTTTACTGGTGGAGTGTTTGTTCAGAACAGAGCGTTCCCTGTTTAGCTGGGAACATCCTTTATGTTTTAGCCATGTTTACACATAATTGGCTCTACTTCAGTGTAGTTATTGACAAATGCCATGTCAAAAGAAAGAAATGAAGATAGAAAATGCTGAAGTTGTGCACTAGAACACTTTTAGAGTTTCTTTGTCACATGTTGAGAGCATTGAGCTGAATCAGTGCTGGTTCAGCGTTAAGAAGAAGAAGAAAAATCAACAATACGAGGCACTTTACATTGTTACACAGGTCTGTGCTGTTTAAATTAGCTTTTCAACCAAATATAATAAATCATGAGTCATGGGTAAGAAAGTAGTGTCATCATCACACGCTGACCAATCACAGGTTACGCTACAGGTAACTTTTTTGGCTAGTATGCCCACTCTACAACGCACAGCGCAGGGAAGACTACGGTCCTGTTTGAGAGAAGAATAGCCAACCATTTGGCTCACGTCTAACTAAAATTATAAAATAGGCTAAATTCTATAGGAGTCTATATAATTTTAGAAGATATTTAACAATAAATCATGGTTATAATATTTGGCAGAATCGAAGGGAATCTTCCGGGTGATTGAATTCTGCCAACCAATCAGCGCCCGCTATTCTCATCACGTGACCTCTCCCCAGAAGCGCTCCGGAGTGTTTGCTTTGCTCTAGTTTGCGTTGCTTGTGTCGAGCTCGCGCTCATGGCGGCTGCAGGGTGGGCGCGCGCAGTCCTCAAGCGCCTCAGTTTATGAACGTGAGAAGAAAGAAAAACGCTAATAATGTGGCGGGGATAAACCACACAACCGTTTTTACATTTTAAATAATGTTTGCAGAGGTAAGCCATGGTTTTCCCTAATTGGAATCTGTTTTGTCATTTTATTGAATTTCCTGCTGTGTTAGCTTAGCCGTGTGTTACCTGAGCAGGTAAATAAACACACACACACTGAAGTACACACACAGTTACACACATTAGCACACCCACGCGCGTCTTGTGTGCAGGATTACACGGTAATGCGATGGGATTATATGTTTCTGAGCACTGACAGTAAGTCTTCAGCTAGCTCAGCTAACATCAGCTGTGTCTGTTAACGTTACATGAATGTGTTTACATGAGTAATGTGTGTGTGTGTGAGAGAGACAGTATTGGGGCCATGGGTGGAGATGATGGGGTTTTGTGTGCTTTCTGCTTGTCTCAGCTTGTTGATATTGAGATACGTCGTGGTATGTGTGTTAAACTTATCATACATATGTGTACGTGTCATTTGAGCGTAGGATTATGTATACATTACTAACGTATGTTGAAATAAATGCTAGTTTTTGCGTGTATGGGTGAAATAAAATCTTGCGAATCTTGCAGTTCAGGTTGATTACGATGACACACCTGATAACAGGCACTGGATGTGTTTATTAGTGTCATATCAGTATCTGAACTTGATGTGTTGATACTGAAAACTCAATGTATACAAAGTAAAACCTTGAACCTGCTTTAGTTGTGTACAGTGAAATTTGTTTACGATGAGAAACCTAGTCCTGTTTGTTTTGTACTTATTTTAACCTACCAGTATATGTGTATTATAATGTTTACTAAAAAAAAACAATATACTAAATTTATAAACACTTGTTTTGGCTAAATGTAGTCCTCCAGATTGTAATGTTGGTTAAATCACGCCTGATTGTATGTGGTATTTCAGTGTTTTTGTAAAGTGTAAACATGTAATTTGCCTTTAAGGCAGTTAAACCCATGCAGACTTTGTGTCGGATGATAAAGCTGGTCACATTCACCCTGCTTGAATGACGCTGGTCTTGTTGTGTGTGGATTTTATTGCAGTTTCTGAGCATATTTTTAAAGTGATAAACTTGTTTAGACTATGCAAACATTGTGGTATGGTTGGTGGTGATAAGATAACAGTGTGGTTTCATTACACTTACTGTCTGGATGTGTCATTTCACCCTCTAATTATAAACTCCTGTTTGGGACATTTGCAATAAGCAAACCATCTGGGTTTTTTTTATCGTTTTCAGGTGCATGTATGCAATTTTAGCATCAAATCTGCAATCAAGAACATCAGGAAAGGTCATAGAAAGTAATTTGTGACCAGTCTGGGAATTTCGTGAATTGCCTTTTGTTTTAGCTGTGAATGAGTGTTTCAACTCGTAGTTAATCATGACAGGCCTGAAAGAGTCAAGAGGCCGTGAAAATAACTTGTTTTGTTTTTGCCAATTGGTTGTAACGCACGTCACATTTCATCAATGGACATTTAAAAGTTGAAATGTGTCTGTATTTCGTCACCTGATGACAGGTGGATGAGGTGAATCCTCTTGAGTCACCTGACCCGCTGTAAGAGCGTCCTCACGTGTCTCTGCTGAGAACGCATTCACTCTGTCTTTGCATTTTAGGGCTGGACCTCGAAGTTAATGCACTACAGAAAATGTTTTACTAGCCCGTGGCACTGATCCAGAGAGTTTCATGTCAACCTGCTGTGACGCATGTGATGTTATATTACAGGTCATTTCGTTTGTTTGCACTTGCAGTAAGTACAAGTAGAATAGAATCATATAGAATTAATTTTTGTTTTTTCATTCCTTTTGCTTCCTCTGTAAATTATAAGTAGCCTGTGCGTTTGTGCGTTCGATGCCGCTGGGTTGTGTGTCAACAGAGGAATGCCAAACTGTAAATGTCCAGCACTTGACTATCAGACTCGTGTTACGACACGAGTAGCTCAGCTCACCTGCAAGCTATCCCAGCATGCTCTCTGTGTGTGCCCTATTTATGCCCATCAGAGCTGTGAGATATATGCTGATGTAAATCTTATTATCTGATCCTTATCAAAGCGTGAAGCTCCTGGTCATGGTGTTGAGCCAGAATCAGACCTAGAAAGTGGCGATGAAGAGAGTCAAACAAAACCTCCCCAAACACGGCTCTTACTAAATGTTTCTGAATGGCAATTTGCCTATATTTTTTTTTAACTTTATATACGTTTGTTTTACACAAAATAGCATCAAACTAACTAGCTACTATATACACAAACAGCGTTGGCATTCGTTTACGTTCTTGATCAAATCGAAAAATAACGTCATAAAGTATATATATATACATGAAAAATACATTTACAACATATAAAAATGTAGGTCCATATTGTTTGTTGTTGACACGAAATAGCATAACTAAGTGGCTGGCTATAAATAAGAGCCGAAACGTGTTTTTTAGAGCACACGGAAAACTTCCCACAGTCAAGGACGTTCTCCAAATAGTTAGATTGTATGTGCAAATCTCTTTATCTAAAAAACACAATGCACAAACTCATGATATTAACTAGTCCATGACATGTATTGTTGGAATTTTTTCAACTTGCATAAAACTGTGAATGTTGGTTGAGAATTTTCTCTCCTTGCTTCATGTTGTAGGATTGATGTAGTGGAAAACCTTTTGGTTCTTTCAGATGTCTTGTTTTCCCTCATACCACCTGATACAGTTTTTTCTCTGTTTTCTGGTCTGGTGTCACTGTTTCGATGACGTTTACTTGCACACATTGAGACCAAATGCAAAGCAGACATGTTCATTTTGAGGTAGAAACATCAGACTATTCAGTAGCCACTACACTGGCTATTAATCAGTTAAATTGATCATTGTTTACTATTTACTCAGCCATATGTTGTTCTGTATGATTGACTTTATTCCACAGAGCACAGGAGAAAGCTTGAATAATATTCTACTTTAATTTCAACTGAACACAATTTAATTCAATGTTCACTGATAATCTTTTCTTCAAATTAACAGTGAACTGATGCAAACATTAGCAATAATGACTTAAATATCATCACAGAAGTTGTGTTGACAATTTTAATGGTGCTTTTTTGTCATTTTAGGCAAGAATAATCTAAAGAAATGCATTTGTGTCTCATGGAAGAAATTACATGATGAGAGTGAATAAATTATGACAGAAGTTTCATTTGTTTCAGTTTCAGACTAAACGATATTATTGATTTCTCAAATCATGAGTCTGTTTACTAAGTACTTTACTAAGTAATCAGATGCATGCTTTTACATACTGGACAATAAAACCGGTGATAAAAAATCCCACAGACACTCGTTAAAGGATGGACCCACCCAAGCCATGTCTAGAGACAAAAGATCCAGAGACTTGAGGGTGCGAGTCGTAGCCCTCAATCCGTATTCACTTTATAGCCCTTAATCCTGTAACTGTGGACAAATGTGGGCACAGAGGACTCGGGTGTGATCCTAATTTTTGTTTATTATAAATGTTATATCACTGTCTTCGATAAAGTTTTGTCTATCCATTTATGGTGTTTTTTTTATTTTGGAAGTAATTTTTTGAATTTATTTACTTCAAAAAGCACCATATTTTCTATGTAAATTATGCTTATTTTTATGTGTTTTTTTAACTACATTAAAATATCATTCCAATAAGTTCTTGGCGCTAAAACCTAAAGATGAAGAGACTTTGCCGTCACCTGGTGTCTTATTTTGGCTTATTTTAAAATGCTCTAAATTACAGTTTTTCCCATTCATTTCTATGGGTGCCCATTTTTGACCCAAATACAAGATTAAGGAGTTTTTTTTCACCCATTTAACATTGTAGAATTGAGTAAAAAAAATTGTGTGTGTTCAGGAGGCAAACTTAGGAAAAGTAGCCAAGTCTTGTACCGCTCAGATCAAGGGAAGTATTTTTTAAAAATAAATCAAAACTATTTTGCCCACATTTGTCCAGAATACGGTTTTAGGGTTTGGCAATCATCATCTTCAAAAAAAAAAGAAGAAAAGTTTATGTTATATTATATAACTGATATCGTTCAAATGTAATTTTGTCTTGCTCTAATATCATCCACCATGGCGTCGTGTCGTGTAAGCTGGTGTTTTAGCTGGAATAGTTTTGCAGTCCTGTGACACACCACACATGTGAAAGCCTGTTTGTGTGTCCCTTTGTGTCTGTGGCATAGGATGATCTAGAACGCCACAGCAGACTCCAGAAGGGTTTGTTATGCGTTTTTGCCTGAATCCACATGATGTCAGCTCAAGTCATGAATGATCTGCTGTGGGTTGAGGGATTCACAGGTGACAGGTCAGGTTTGTGCAGAGTTAAATCAGTGCTTTTACCTGGTCTAATGGTCTTGTGTAGCCAGACATTTAACATTACAGCATTTTCTGGACAAAAACCACACACTTTGACAGGGAAAGACCATTTGATTGACTTTCTTCTTTTATGTGATTTATCTTTTGCAGTCTTTCTTTTCTTTCCTTTGCCATTTCTTTTTTTTTTTGCACTTTATTTTCTTTTGCTCTTATTATTTTCTTCATTATGAACATTTCCGGGGTTCTCAGATGCATATGTTGTTGTAGTTTAGTGTAAACCTCTACACTAGTGGTGAACGGAAACTACAACTAATATCATTTTTGCATGCTCATTTCCTCCAATTGCAAAAGAAAAATCCACGACAAGAGTCGTGGAGAGAGATTCATTTACATTAATCCGTTGTATTGGAGCGTTAACTACTTTTCTTGTTAATTTAATGCCAGGGTAATATAACGATGTATGTAAATAGATGCATAAAAAACAATAAATAAAAAATAAAAAAAAACAGTGGTTTTATAAATTCAAACTTTTCTACTTGTCTTTAAAAAAAAAAAGGTTATAAAAAATGTCAATGTTATCGTTACCGAACAATATTAAACATTATACCATGGTCTGGGTGAATACTCGATTCTGATTGGCTGCAGGGTGTCCGTTAAAAAGTGATAGAGGACACCTAGTAAAGTAGTTCTGGTGAAACTGCCTGTTTACCATTCGAAATTAATAAATAAATGCGCTGCCTACAACGGCTGTGAGTAACCATAGCAACAGGCAGTCACATGCTCTATCATCTAACGTTAGATATTATAGCCTAATACAACAATGAGCGACTTCGTGCTATTTCTTTTAACATTTATGGAGAATATGGCAACTTTGACGACTGGTATGCTGCTGAAGAAAGAAAAAATGTAAATAAAACGGAGAAAATTACACCGCTGGTGCGCTCCATTGAACTCTATTGGTAACGACGTAACTTGCGACCATAGTTGGATAACGACGATGCTTTCGGGAAACGCACCCCTGAATGAGACCCTGCGGGAGTTTTACGCAGCTGTCCAGACAACCAAGGCAGGAGAAGGCTGAACGTTACAGCGTTTCAAGCCTAAGGACTCGGAGCCTGAGGCAAATGACCCTCTCTTTGATCTGATTAATTTATTGCCCTCTATAACGTTAAGCGCAAATCGCTGGAGCTCAGAGCTAATTGTTTTTTATTGTTGTTTGATTAATTGTTTTATGTGTAATAAAAAAAAACTATGCCTACCTTTGTGTTTCATGAAAAAAAAATGCATTTGTGAACCTGAAGGGATACGAGCTAAGCGGACTATAAATATCTCCGATTGCTAGATAAACAGTCAGTCAAGTTATTATTTGTAAAAACTAGATTTAGCCTAATTAAAATATAAACTAATGTTTTAAAAATGTTTTATTTGGCAAGTGACCATGGTATAAGCGGGTTAATGCCCTCCGAGGTGTCCATTGTCAGGTTTTAATGGACTTCGGCGGAGGCAACCGTCCTCCGCTGCGCGTCGGCCGGTTTACGCCTCGCCGTCGTCCATTAAAACCTGACAATGGACACCTCGTCGGGCATTAACCCTTACTTATATCGGTCGGGTTCATGTTGTTTTTTTAAGGAATATTGCAGTATTTAATATAAATGATTTATCATTTTGTTAATTTCAAGTGAGACGTACTCTTAAATCCCAATAACTTCCTCGGTGCGACATCTCGCATGAGATCCACCAATAGCAAACCAAAACAAATCAAGCCCCGCTCTACATTTATTCTTGTTCCAGAAGCTTGGATATACGGCGCAATAGTGAAATAAACACTATCAGAACTTCTGTTTCATACCGACTTTAATAACTGTGGAAATGCGTCATAGCATTAGCATTAACTTGATCATATTTTTGGGTGATGTTTATTTAACATGTCAGCAGGACATACTCCAGGTCTGACCCTTCAGATCTGAGGCACACAGAGGTGTGTGTGTGTGTGTGAGCGATCGTCTCAAGAGAAGGAAGAGAAAGGGCAGAGATTGGCTCACTGAGTTTCCTGTCCTGGAAAAAACAGGAAACCTGTCCACTGGACACATTCTCTGTCACACTCGATTCATCGGTCTCCTCTCTCATATAGTCTTTTAAAAACCTTTAGCCGTCTGCTGAAAGCTCCAGCAGCCATTTCAGTTCTTCTGGGTCTTTGTTATGATGATGATCAGGAGCAAAATGCAACCTTTTTTGCATTTTGGTGTGTTGTTCTGTACGTTTGCTACTTGAATTGCAATGCAAGAGTGATAATCTGACCGCTGATGTTTTGATCTGGCAAGAGTGAATCACAGCAGAGAATATGAATGTTAAAGAAAAGCTCTCTTTTTCTACACATTAATGTAAATACAAACAAAATCGCAATGAGTCTTGGTGTTTTTGTGACGGGTGCTCGCAGCAAAACAGTTTTGTCCTAGAGATAAAACATTCATTTAAAGGGCGCATATCATGCAAAATCCACTTTTTTAGCCCTTAAATGCATTTTGTTGTATATTTGGAGTGTTTATAAGTACAGAAAAGATGAAATTATTCTCTTCAGGTGATTCATTTATATCTTTACATTCTGTTTTGGTCATATTTTTCAACCTGTTCAGATTTTTCTGTTGTCTATGACGTTTTTTGAGCAAGTGCGTCGCCGTATTTGCAGCGGAACTGACAAATAAGGACATCGACTACCGGTCCAACACTTCGAGCAATCCGCCATTATTATTTCTCGCTCCGATTTTGTAGTCCGAGCTCAATGATGCAGAAGTTACGAGAGGGAAAGTCAAAATGTTCGGTTGTTGGATGTACGTTAGTGACCTGAAGCACTTCAAGGATTCCCACTTCAACAACCTCCGCCAGTAACGTTATACAGAAGGGTTTGCCGATTGACTTCGTCTGAATGAGAGGTAACGTTAAATTCCTTCTATCTTTGGAGACGACGAACAGAGCATTTCGATAAGCTGTAAATATCGTTAATAAAATTAAAGTACTTTACTTTCTTAAAACACATGGTGGTCGTGGTTTAGCAGTACCTTTGTCTTTCTTTGTTTTTGTTTTGAAGTAACGTTACACGTCTGCAGTATTATTGTTCTTGAGTTTCATCAATGGTCATTTAGCTGCTGTGGTTTCATATTATCAATACAGATTGTTTGTGGTAAGATTAGACCGTAGTCATTTATCTTGTCAGTGTGCTTGTTTTAACAAGAGAAATAGTCGACTTTCACTAATAACACAAAACAGTTAACTCACATTGTTCTGCAGGTTCGTCGTCGTCTTTATCGACCCGCTCGCTCTGGCTCGAATATGTAAGGCTTGATGGACAAGTCTTCTGTTGTTGACATTTTATTAACGTGTGTGTGAATAAAAATGTTCTTTGAAGGTATCGTATATAATCGTATATCTCTAATCAAACTACAATAATGGCCGAACGTGGGGAGTTGAACCGACCGTGAACTCATCGACCTGGAGAGCGGGCGGGGTGTGACGCATCTCCTTTTTATTTAAAGGGGCCGCTTTGAAACGGGTCGCTCACAGACGCACATCAGAAAAGGGGCTTGTGGAGCTATAATAATGAGGAATTCAGACCCAAGCATTGCAGTTATGTTTTATATAGACCACAACGGTATGATTTATATGTAAAAATGAATGATTTAAAAGCATAATATGTACCCTTTAATGAAGTTTCATTTCAGTGAATTTTCCTCAATTCACCTGCTTTTGGAAAAACATTTTACACCCTGATGTTGATTTATGTTGAGTTTTAGTTAGCTGCAGTCATGTCCTCTCGTCTGTATTTTCAAATATAGGGCCTACTTTATTCATGATGCTTTCATTCTGATCAATTAACGTCCTTAAAAGTGAGCACTCGCAGATAAGAAATAATGCTGTTAGCTGTGTGTGTTTCAGGCCAGTCTGTCCATCTGGGGATGGGGGGGTCTGGGAGTCGTCCTCTTCCTCATCTCATTTGGACCCTTTGCCATCTTTTATCTGGCCTTCTACATCCTCTGTTTCATTGGCGGGTAAGTGGATCCCAGATTAGACCATCTGTAACACCTTTTGATGCTCTATCTATCATGATGCTGCAATCTCTCTCTCTCTCTCTCTCTCTCTCTCCAGGGGTTTTGTAGTGCTGCTTTTATTTGGAAAGACAAACTCAGAGAAACACCTGGAAAGGTGCGAGCACTCCTACCTGCCACCTACACAGGCGGCCATACTGAAGGTGTGCAAACACTCGCATCTGTCTTCCTTCTGTGATTGCATTTTAATTTATTATGTTTGCCACAACAAGATTTGTGATGCATTTAAGCAATAAAGCATGTCATTTTTTTGATTTGATTTATTGGTTTATTTAAAAGGGGACAGTGCAATTTCACAAAACGCATGAACAAACATGGTTAAAAAAGCCAGAATTAGCCAAAAGGCTATTTTTCATCTGTAGTCCCCTGGCCAAGATGTAAAAAAGCATTACAATACAAACAAGAAAATACATTTATAGGTCTATAGCAAATTGACTAAAAAATATCTAAATAACACTATAAGATAACATAGGGTACACTATGCCTATTACAATAATAAAATACACAAAAACACATTTACAAAAAGACTATATATTAAATATATAATACAGCTCTTGGTTCGGCTTTTAATGTTGGCAGACATAATTGTTAATAAGCCAAATTTTCAAGTTTTTTGTAAAAGCCTTGTAAGTATGTCATGTGGCTTTTTTCATAAAACCTTAACAGTTTAGTAGTTTCATAGGCCCTATTTCAGTAGTTTTCTTATTTAGTTAAAATTGAATACAAATGTATTAATCAAAAACATTGCTAATTAAATGAAATGGCATAAAACAGTATTTTCAATCGAATGAAAAGTCAACAATTAATTTTAAAATGCTGCACTTACACAGAGGTTTACTGGTAATATTAGAGGATGAAAAAAATCCTTAAATGCCGTTTTAATAATTGTAATAACAACTTTGAGTTTCCGTGTATATGACGTGACGATAGTTTTAAATCTAATGAAATTGTGAAATGTTCAAATTGTGCTTGTGTTCCACTCCTGAGCTTTAAGTCTTTGTGTTTGTTCCTCAGGTTTCGGAGGAGATGAAATCAGAGTCCAAACCCATCAAGATAGACCGTCGTCTGACAGGATCCAATATCATAGATGAGCCACTGCAGCAGGTACTGTCAGCCAAACCCAACAGACAGATTGTGTGTTTGAGGAACCTGGGGTCGAGCGTCGAGTCGTTTGTTTCTGCATGTGACATGAGTAAGATGCTGGATCAGCTAGTTTGAGGGTTTAGGCTGAACTGATGAGCACATGACGCTCACTTCGGCTAGTTTTCACTTACAAGGCAGATATTCTGCAAGTGTCACTTTTTTGATGCAACCATTTTCTACACTTTAGCTTTTTTTTTTGCTTCCCTAAAGGCCACTTCTATTGTTAGTCGAATAGGTTCCTATTGACGTTGCATGAACATTTTCCACGCTTTCTTTGTCATTTAGAAACAGGTTGTTTTACTACTCCACCTTAGATATGTAATTGACGTACCAGTGTCACTTAAACGGTTAAGTCGCAGAATACTGAAAACATGAGCGGTTGTACGTTAATGTCTCTGAGCTGCCTGCGTAGACCGCTTCCAAGACGCCATAACTGTCGCGTACCATGATCTGTGAGACTCATTTCTAAATTAAAGGAGTAGTTCACTTTTAAAAAAGACTTGCTGATAATTTACTCGCCCCCATGTCATCCAAGATGTCCATGTCTTTCTTTCTTCAGTCGAAAAGAAATGAAGGTGTTTGATAAACATTCCAGGATTTTTCTCCATATAATGGACTTCAATGGGAACCAAACGAGGTCCAAAAGACAAAACAACTAAAGAGCGGTTTAAGTTCACTTTGTTACAGAAAGTACGCCAAGCCAATTTTTACATTTAAATAAAACAGTTTCAGTGCAAACTGCGAATCTTTTTCCCAGTGAATTTGTTAATTTCGTTCGTTGAATCAACCAAATGATTTGAAAAAAAGATTCGTTCATTTTGATGAACGAGTTCGAACAGAAGAGTCACGAACGCACATCACAGAACAGAGCAAGGTGAGCATTTGAGCTTATAAAACTTAAACTTTGTTTTTTTTTTTTTTAAATGAGTGATCGTTTCGCTTGATAAGACCCTTGTTCATCGCCTGGAATCGTTTAAAGCCCTTTGAACAGTTTTTAGTTTGCACTGAAACTGTCTTTTGGACCTTGAACCGTTTGGTTCCCATTGAAGTCCATTATATGGAGAAAAATCCTGGAATGTTTTCATCAAAAACCTTCATTTCTTTTCAACTGAAGAAAGACAGACATGGACATCTTGGATGACATGGGGGTGAGTAAATTATCAGCAAAAGTTTTTTTAAAACTGAACTAATCCTTTGTAATTTATTCCAAGAAGTGTACAATTCAAAGTGCACTCAAAATATTGGATAAAATGTTTATTTTAGCTATATTTTTTAGAATTGTATAAACATTTGTATAATACACGTTTCAAAGCAGCTTTACAGAACATCGTGATGTTAATGTTTATGATATCTCAATATCTTAAAGCCTAATAGTCATATTTAACAGATTAGAGTTGGGTGAAAAATAATGTGGCATCTGTGATTTGCTTCACAACACACATATTAAGCTTAATAAAAGTGTATGTTAGGCATTCAAATAAAGATATAATAATTTCTAATTAAATCATTGCAGTGCACTTTGGATTAGTTTGCCCAAGAAATGAGCTATTTTGGTCGAAGGCAACATGATGTTATCTACTGTTGTGAACAGCCTCCCTGTGGGCAGTGTGTCGTTTTCATGATATAACCCCGTTAAAACCATAGTATAAGAGCTCTTCATGGCCAAAATCATTAAGTAGCTCATTTTAAACTAGTCTGACGTTTTGAGGAAATTGTGTTAAAGTTAAACAGTCATGAGAGTGTGTTTAGTGTGGACCCCTTTGTGGTAGAAGTTATGGGTTATTGTGTCTCTGCCAAGAAGAATTCAGGGCACATGATCCAGAAAAATACACTTCCTTGTGCCTGATGTTTTTCACACACGTATGCACTCACGACATGTACATTAAGAGTTATGGGGTGATATTTGCCACCTTAATTTGATTTCCAGGGGCATTTTATACCTTTCTAAAGGATTTTTTTTAACCTTATTAGATGTATGGGTCATCTTTTTGTAAATACTTTATCTGAACGATATTTGTATTGCCTAGTACTTCTCATGTTTATTGCTTTTAAAATGAATCGCTTGTTGTATCGCTTTGGATAAAAGAGTTTGCTAAATGAATACATGTAAATGTTCTTTAAATATGAAACTAAAATCGCCAGTAGGTGGCGCCAAGTCACTGTCTTAATAAGTGAGTCATTGAATTATTCATTCAACTGATTCTTAATAAAATCGGCATGACTGCCGATTCAATCATTTTAAACTGTTTTTATGACGAGGTCGGTGAGGATGGGGAAAAATCTTACATTTTTGTGCAAACTTTGCCCTGTCGATAAAATAATTGTTGTCTGTGGTTGTTTATGGGCTGTGGGAATAATAATAATCATTTTTAATAAAGAAGCTTGCAGCAACGTATATGGAAAAAAAGAACTATAAATGAACTTGTTGAACTATGAACTGAACTAGTTCATGTTAAAATTTGTGAACTGAACTTTGAACTAGTTCATGTAGAAACTCTGGTTGTTCTATTAATGATATAAATTCGAGACCAAAGTTGTATCATTGTAATTTTGGTGTCATTCTAACTGTATTCTACTAGGTTTTACCACACAGTGTTTTTTGTTTAGCTTTTACAAAGTTAGTGTCAATTTCAGCTTCCACAACTTTAAAACATCAATTACAGTATTATCATAGACTATACATCTCGCTAAACCCTTTTCATGATCTTTTTGACATTATTTAAGTGAATCGTGTCCTGTTCTGATCCTCTTCTCAGGTCATCCAGTTTGCTTTGAGGGACTATATCCAGTATTGGTACTACACACTGAGTGATGATGAAACGTTCCTCTTGGAGATCCGTCAGACTGTCCAAAACGCCCTCGTCCAGTTCTCCACCAGGTGACCGTTCACCCTCACACCTGCTTTAAAAAAGGGTTGTGAACGACACTGATGCAACACCTAACCACAAACCAAACACTGCATTCAGATGTTCTTACTCACGATGTTGAAATGGACAACTCCCATGATTGATTGACTCTCAATCTTTCCGTTCCCCAGGTCTAAAGAGGTGGACTGGCAGCCGTATTTCACCACCAGATTGGTGGATGATTTTGCGACTCACCTGCGTGTTTTCAGGAAAGCTCAAGAGAGGCTGAATGAGAGAGAAGATCCAAAGCAACGTAATTGTCATTCTTTCCCCTCAATTCGCATTGTCTGCAAATCCTAGACAATGGACAGATTAAACCAATACACTTTATAAAAAGGTCATGTTTAAATTGTTGTAGCCTGTAATCAATAGTTGATTTCCTAAAGCCTAATTACTGAGTAAAGGCTTTAATTGCAAGTTGGTTTTAATGACTAAGCATGTACATGACGTTATGTGTGTGTTTGCGCGGCAGGTGACGATCCAGAGGAGCTGCTGGACTCGTTTTTTGAGGCGGAGGTGGAAATGGAGAGGAATATTTGTCGAGATATGGTGTGCATGTCACGCAAGGATGAAGAAGGTAAGACAAACACAGATTTGTGTCTATAGACTGATAAAAGACTCCAGGCCAGTGATTCAAGGCGTATTTTATGTCAACAATAGTCATGAATAACTTGTACATGCTTCTCTAGGGCAGATCTCTAGGCCAGACAAGCCCAAAGACTTGATTAGCAAAAACTACAAACACACACCCAGTGAAATGCTTTGAAAACGCTTTAGTGACTGACAGACAATCAAAAACATGAACACTGTTGGTGGTGTGCCTTGCGAATAAAAATATCACATGTGATCTGCTCCTTTATGAGATGAATTATAACAAAGGATTTGCTCACCCTTGTGTCTTTTCAATATCAAACGACTTTCTTTATTCTGTGGAGCAGAAAAAAAAAGTTGTAATGAACGTTTTTTTAATACACAAATGATTAGGAACTGCAGCTGTTGGATTGTAAAAATGCACAAAACACTCAAAACACCATGAAAGTAGTTTGTACAAAACATTATTCCATTCTGCAATCAAGACTTCTTGATACAGTCCTTTTAAAAATCTTGAAAATCAGTTTGACAGAAAGGTTATAAAATGTTTTAAGTCTATTAAGTGGTATAAGAAAACTCTTAATTATCATTTTAAATGGTCTTAGATTTGGAAATTTGGATGGAAAAGCTGGAGTTGTGATAATATAGCTTTTAATATGTTATTTGATTTCTATAAATTTCTATAAAAAAACACGGTGCTGTTTGACAGCAAGACAATGTCGACTTTATGGTGTTTATAAAGATTTATGATTGTAATAGTGTAATAGTTTTATCTCATAATCTCATTTTTATATTAAAAAGTAGATTTTAGCAGTAGATTGCAGATTTAAATCTTAGAAATTTCTAAATAAGTTTCCAGAGTATTTCAGGCTTGCTTATAATTAAAAGCTCCACATTATGCAAAACTATTTTTCTGGTTATTAATATTATCTGGCATCAAATTCAGTGTAAACTCTTGTTTCTTCTCTCTACGCCACTGGAAAGACTAAGAACATAATTTATTATTCAATAAATAGTTATTACTAGTATCGGCATGGTATCTGTAATTCGTATGGATATGTTTTGGGATGCACATGTATGAACATTTTGGCCGATACCGATAACCGATAATTCTTTATATTTGAAAGCCGATAACCGATATATCGGCCGATAAATCTAAATCCAATTATTTTAATAATTTTTAAGAGAGTGATTGCAAAAACAAAAGTCTCACAATTAAATCCATTTCCCAATCACACAATTACTTTGTATAATTATCTCATTATAATTTCATGTAGCCGATATGACAGCACAACTATATTTTCCTTTTTGATTCCAATCATATTTCAATCATGTTGAACAGTGCGCATCTTAAGTGTCTCAAGTGTGAAGGAAATAATTTGTTATTTATCAGCTTTAACATATCAGCCAAGTTTTATTATCGGGCCGATAACATAAAAATGAACAAATATCGGCCGATACCGATATGGTGGCCATCACTAGATATGTTGGTACATAAACCTTTTTCCGTACATATTGAATAAAACATGTCTCGGCTGTTTTATGATTGCAGTCGCCCTGTTGTGCTGATAAGCAGTGCTACGTCCTTGTTGAATGTGTGCGACAGCCTGTTTAATTAAGTTAAAGACTCCCAAGATGCATGATTTAATTGAAGATTGTATTTGTTTGTTTTGAATTGACATGCAGTATTTATTTTATTTGTGCTGCTCTTAAAAAGCTCTTAAAAGCCTTACATTTGATTTAAAATCCCTGCAATAGCTTTGAGACTGTCTCTTGTGCTGTAGATTTGACTGTAGTGTGTTTGTGGCGCAGGTTACTTGCGGGATCTCTGTGAAGTGCTGCTGTACCTGCTGTTGCCTTCTGGAGATTTCCACAACAAGAATATGAGATACTTCCTCAGGGTGAGACTTGCTAAATCAGTCCCAAATGCATCCAAATAATATTGTATCTTTCAACTAGTCACGGCCGGCTAAAGAAACGAGCAGAGGAATATTGTAAAGCAGCGTTTACATGGAGGAAACCATAAAACATGAAAAGCATTTTCTGCTTGTTAAACCCTGTAACCTTTTCTGTCATTTTAATTAAATCTATTTAAAACAGTTTTCATTAGTTCAAACAATGTAGAATATAAATATTAGATAACATATTTAAAAAAAAATAAGAAATGTTGCCTTGGAAACTAACTGAAATAAATTAGTTTAAATTCTAAAATTATTAAAGCTAAAGCTGAAATAAGAAAGTAAAGCTAAATAGAAATTATGGCTGTCAAACTATTAATCGTGTCTAAAATAAAAGTCTGTGTTTTACATAATATATGTGGGTGCACTGTGTATAATTAGTTTGTATATATAAATACACACACATGCTTGTAAATATTTAAGAAATATTTTCATGTATACACTGTATATAGATTTATATATAATTTATATTATGTTAAATATAAATTATATATAAATAATAATATATATATATATATATATATATATATATAATAATAAATTATAAATATTTTGGATATATTTTATAATATAAATTTTTATATATTATAGTATTTTATATTAAATATTTTACTTTCGCCTGGAGACTGGCATTTGTCGCGGTTTGGAAAGAAAGGGAGATAACATTACATAATAACACGGCGGATATCGCATTTTGCGTAAAATTAAACATTGACTTTTCAAGGCCGACCAGATACAATACAGATTTTTGCAGTAACTCAATTTTTTTTTAAATGGCGTTTATCGCGTTTTGGAACCAAACTCTTCATATATATATATATATATATATATATATATATATATATGTTAAATATATATATATATATTAAACACAAACTTTTATTTTGGATGCGATTAATCGCGATTAATTGTTTGACGGCCCTAATAGAAATTTTAAAAATGGCAAAAGCATGTAACAAAATAGGCTATATGCACGCATAAGTTCCGCATTTGACGCAAGGCTGCTCTTCAGTTTCCGGTTGGGGCGATTTAAAGCGGAGGAACACCAAGGAAAACGGGATTATGGCAGAGTCTTCAAAATGTACTGTCCTCCCGTCTTTGAAACGAAACTTTAATACGTTTAGATGTAATTTTATACATAGTTATGTTTATTTAATATAAAAAACAAAGAAGCATAAACAAAAAGTTTAGTCTATTTTTGTGACTAACGTTTCTTTAGTATAGCCATAGAGTATAAAAACCAATATGAATACTCGGTATAGCATTGGACTCTTAAGTAATCCTTAGACCTTCACCGGAAATACCGCCGTGCATAAAGCCCATTACTAAAACTTTAACATTTAAATAACTCAAATTGTATATTTTTTTAATAAATATTGTTGTAACACTCATTGTATTGCAATCTGCTGTAAATGTATATTGCAGCTTCAATAATCCGTGGTTATTGACAGTGTATCACAGATGGTGTTGATAGAGCTTAAGCAGTATTTAATCCTTTAAGACACCAGATCTGGGATTTACTGTTCTGAGATCAGGACTTCTGAACTCATGAGGTGGCCGATGTGGTCCTGACAGGTCTAGAGATTAGAGCTCCGGCTTTGGTGTTCTGCAACTGGACAAACTTGTCGATGATGATTGGTTGATTGATTGATTGATTGTTTGATGTCCTGCAGGAAGTTTTGGCCAGAGGAGTTCTGCTGCCCTTGATTAACCAGCTCAGTGACCCAGATTACATCAATCAGTTCGTCATCTGGATGGTGAGACCTGCTCTGTTCCTACAGTAGAGAAGTGTGTTGTAGATGTTTATGCTTTCCCTTTAAAACATTTTGTGTGTGTTTAGATTCGGGACTCGAGCTGTAACTATGAGGCCTTCATGAACATCTTAAAGCTGACGGACAAACCGCCCGAGCTGGAGGCCGTCAAAGACCGAGTCCTGGAGGAGCTTCAGCATCTCCGATCTCTGGACACGGGCGCAGACGGTAGATACACACTTATGTTTACATGCATGTGCTTTGTAATGTGTTTGGAACGTAAACAATGAATTCTGGGGGTTATTTTGGAAAATATGAGGGCAAGTTCATGACAAACATTGTTTACTCTTCATTCTCTCTCTCTGTTCTCGCAGATATCAACATAATAAAAAATCAAATCAATAGTTTGCTTTTTGTGAAGAAAGTCTGTGAAACACGGATACAAAGGCTACAATCAGGAAAGGTAACCAAATCCCCCTGTTTCATTTACACTTAGGAATATTTATCAGATTTTTTTAAACATTAAACATTGCTCCTAATTAGGGCTGGGTTATAAATATCGATTTCTCGATATTAATCGATTCTCATTTTTACTAACCGGTATCGATTCTTAAATCTCAAGAATCGATTAGTCATCCTGAATGGGACATTGTATCGCGCATCCAAAAAAATCACAATAATCTTTGTCGTTTGTTACTATTGATATGAAACAAAGTCTCAATTTTCAAATTACGTCCATTTTCTTTAGAAATTCAAAAACATTAATAGCGTTTTGTCGCTGTGGCGTGAGATCGCTCTGGAGAAGCAGCAGCGCTGATCTCTCTTCCGGCTTAATAATACCAGTCACAGCGCCAAATAAACATGAACGAGCATCTGAAAGTGTGTTAAAGTTAGAGTACAACTTATCGAAATCCGGATCACGTCACATTGATTCGCTCAATCAGCGTTTCAACCGTGGAAAGACGTCAGTTAAACGGCTTGTAATCAATGTTATCGTCATATTTACCTCAGAAAACCCTCATAAACTCGTTAGTCAGATAGAAAAAATAACTCTAAATATATACACCATATTACATATGCATTATAATGCATTATATTTCATTTAATGCATTATATTTCACATAATCTTCTTATTATAAAAATAAATAAAAGTGTAATTTAAGTGTTTGTATAGCTACAAAACTACCTTAATTATTACCTTACCTTAATTACTACCTTACCTTAATTAATTATTAACTTCATATTACGTTAATGAAGCCTAGTAGGCTACAACTAGACTCCCATAGTTTACAGCATTAATTAAGAGATTTGATTTCCTTGAGAAAATTTGCCATTTATTGTAACTAATATCCAAAATAATGGATATTGAAACGAATCAGAATCGAAATTGCAAGCTTGTGAATCGAAATCGAATTGTGAAATTTGTGTCAATACCCAGCCCTACCCTGTTTTGTAGGAGTTACATTTGTTTTAAATGATTAAGAGCATTTATACAAATAATTATAAAGACAAAATAATTACCGTTATTGGATGTTACTTTGACTTTTGACGTTTTATTATTATTTTAAATTTTACTTTCTATGAATCTTATATCAGTTGCCTGACATTTAACATTTGACTAACATGTTTCGGATGTTTTTGCCAAACAGGAAGTTGACGCTTTGAAACTCGCAGCTAATTTTGGGAAGTTGTGTGTGATACCGTTGGAGCATATCCTGGTGCACAACATCGCCCTGCAGTTCTTCATGGGTGAGTCGAGACGGATGCACGCAAACCGTCCTCTCGTTTATAATGCATCATCAGTCGTCCCTTATTGGTTGTTATCTGTCTCTCTGTAGACTACATGCAGCACATGGGCGGGCAGGCGGTTCTGTTCTTCTGGCTGACGGTGGAGGGTTACCGGGTCACGGCACAGCAGCAGCTGGAGGTCCTACAGAGCAGCCAGAGAGATGGGAAGAAGCCGAGCAGCCAGACGACCAAAGGGCTTCTGAGAGCCGCTGCGGTGGGCGTCTACGACCAGTACCTGTCTGAGAAGGTGGGGGGATTTAGACTTATCGGTTCTTAAACTTAACCGAGGTTTGGCGCATATAGGGCCTAGTGGTGTAGCGGTATATTGTTGCGAGCGAAGATATAAAGTGTCTATCGTTATAATTGCGCTGTATCGTTTATCAAGGATGTGGTTTTTCCGGATTAATCCGGAATTCCGGATTTTCCGACCTGAAAATGTGACCTACGTGAATCATGCAGATCTGTAAAAAAAAAAAAAAAACGGGGGGGGGCGGGTGTCGGCAGCCGGAGTGAAACGGAGAGAATATGAGGACATAACCCATAACTGGCTGACGTGCGTACAGAAAGTTCTTTTCAAAGTATCAACAAGGACGTATTTGCGTTCAGCCAGAGAATGTCTAATTGGTTCAGCTTGTTCACCTGCTCAATTTCGTAATATCTCAGTCGCTCTCGCACTGGAGAAATCTGCTTGTCAAATGCTCCGTGTATATTAGACGTAACGTCATTACAGGTCTTAAAGTGACAGTAACCCTAATAATAAAAATGCAGCTTGTTCTTAAAGGGATAGTTGACCCTGAAATTGTGTCATTATTTATTCACTGCAATGTTGTTCCAAACCTGTATTAATTTATTTCTTGTGCTGAACAAAAAAGAAGATAATTTGAAGAATGTGGGTAACCAGACCATTGCTGGTCCCCATTGACTTCCATAGGGAAAAATTTACTATGGAAATCACTGGGGTACATCAACTGTTTGGTTACCCACATTCTTCCAAATAACTTAAACAGAAGAAAGAAACTTATTCAGGTTTAAAACAACTTGAGAGAGTAAATGATGACAATCACAATTTTTGGGAGAACTATCTATTTAATGTTAATTAAACAACAAAACACAGAGGAAATCACTCACTGCTCTTGACTGAGAACTTTAATAGTAGCTTTAATAAGAATCAATGTATAATTTATACAGTGAAGACTATATTTGACTTTGATTGAACATTTACTCTCGCTTTGCGGAAAAGATATTGGGATATATATCGATGGGGGGGGGCTCCGTATATTTTCCTGCTTTTTTGACCTTAGCCAATCACATGCCTGGTTTATGTTCTGGTATGTATCCATGCTGCACAGTTCTAGTACAGTAAGTTATTGACACACTAGAGTGATGATAAAACATAGCCTGATGTCGTCACTCTCAGACTCGAGTCAGCATGTGAGTCTGTGAGTCACACTCTTGACTGAATAACGCTTTTATAAGAATTGATTTATACTTAATTCACACAGTGATGCTTGAAGTGATGATTGACAGTTTCTGTTTGCAATCAGGCCTCTCCTAGGGTGGAGGTGGACGAAGCGTCCGTAAGCAGACTGGCTCAGAAACTCAGCAAAGAGGATCCCACACCTGAGATATTTGATGAGATCCAGAGAAAGGTCTGTTTTCGGTGCATACATGTGTGATTTGTGCATTCTGACCAGTGTAACCAATAAAAAGCCGTCTAATTGAGCTCACTGTGTTTTCAGGTGTATGATATGATGTTGAAGGATGAGAGGTATTACCCGTCTTTTAGGCAGCACCCGCTGTATGTGCGGATGCTGGCCGAGCTGGACATGCTGAAGGAACCCAGCTTCAGGGGATCTGACGATGGGGACGGAGGTGAGGAACCCACATGAGATCACATCTGACATTAATGACCGCAACAATGAGTCATCTCATTCCGGATACGTGTTAAAACTGCTTTTTTGTTTCAAAATGTTGCCATCCATACTAGCATTTCAAGCTTTTTCCAAAAGTGTTGGGGGAAAGGTCAAATTAGGGATGTATCGGTATTGGCCGATGTATGTTCATTTTTAATGTTATCGCTATCGGCCTGGTAAGAAAATGTGGCTGATATATTAAAGCCGATAAATAATGTATAATTCCCTTCAGCTGAGACACCTGTTGAGCGCTGTTTATGTTTTAGAATTTCTTGAAATATGATTGAAATCTCTTCAAAAAATGAAAATACGGTTCGTTGCAACATGTGCAGCGCAAATCTGTCATATCGGCTGCATAACACTATAATGAGAACATCATTATAATCCTGCGCTTGGGACATGGGTTTAATTGTGAGACTTTTGTTTGTGTAATCAAGCTCTCAAAATTATACAAAGATTTGGATTTAATTATTGGTATCGGCTTTCAAATATAAAGAATTATCGGTTATCGTATCGGCCAAAATGTTCATATCGGTGCATCCCTAGGTCAAATATAGAGAAAAGGGTGCGTTTTCAAATGTGTCTCGATTTGTGTATATGTAGCATGAAATTAATTAATATTTTCTCTGTTTATCCAGAGTCATTCAACGGGTCTCCGACAGGAAGCATTAATTTAGTATGTTAAAACATGCCTTTATATACACACATTGTGCTGAATGTGTTCGATTCGTTTCTAATAAATGTCTGTGTTTTGTAGTCATTAGATGACCTCATCAGTGGGAGCGTGGATGAGTCTGCTCAGCTTCATGCCTTTATCTCTGACACAGGTGAGAATTTGACCTGATTTTAACCATTTTAAAAGATACATGCTTAAATGCCCTGAATATAATGCCACAAATATCCTATAATGCTCTTAATATAATTTATTTTGTCCTCTGGCTTATTTTCATCTGTAGATGTTCTGATTTCTATTTAATTCAGTGGTAACACTTTATTTGAAGGGGTGTGCATAAGACTGACATGACACTGTCATAAACATGACATAACACCTGTCATTAACATAAAGGAGTCTTATTAATGTTTATGACTGTTGTCATTAAGTGTCATTCGGTAAATTATGACACACTTAATGTAAAGTTGACATTGTTTAAAATGTCTTTGTTATGACAACTTGACATTAACCAAGAAATCATAACTAGTCCAACGTGATCCACTTTACTTGAGGTAAGGGGAAGTATTAATGACACTGTTGGTAAAGCATTTGACAGTGTAATAACCCTTAATGACATCTTTATAACTTAAAAATGTGTTCCCCTTTACTTGAGGACAAGTAAAATATTCAAGACACAGTTATAATGGTGTCATGACGGCCAAAGTTAAAACCAACCACATATGACAGGGTAATGTAATGTTAACGCAAAGCTAAATAACTTCTTTAAGTTTGATAATTAGATCTGTTATGACATATTTGTGACAGGTTATGATTTCTTGGTTAATGTCAAGTTGTCATAACAAAGACATTTTAAACAATGTCAACTTTGCATTTAAAGTGTCATATTTTACCAAATGACACTTAATGACAACAGTCATAAACATTAATAAAGGCTCTTTCATGTTTATGACAGTGTCATGTCAGTCTTATGCACACCCCTTCAAATAAAGTGTTACCAATTCAGTTATATTCTATTAAACGTGCTGTAATGTGTGATTTAAAGCGATGTTCAGTGTTCCTCTTTTCTCTAGTCGTCACTTCTTCTCATTTTCAAGCTTCATTTATTTGAAAGATGCAACACTTTTCCTGCCACTTTGTTTCCATTCTTATTTTGTGTCTATCATTCCATCAACTTTATTTTCTTACATCCATTTTCTTTCCCTCTGTGGCTTTGTCCTCTGTCGTTCTCGTTCTCTCGCACCTTCATTTCCATCGCTCCTGCCTCCCTGTAGTCGATGCTTTTCTAAACCAACTTCCTATGGCAGGCGTTTGTAACGATCATGGGAAGACTTACGCGCTCTACACCGTCACCGTCGTACGCAAGAACTCGGACGGCAGTGAGGACGTCTGGAAGACGTATCGCCGCTACAGTGATTTTCACGACTTCCACATGCGCATCACAGAGCAGGTGAGCGAATCTGACCTATATATCAACGTCCCACTTCACTGATATCCAACGTTATGTCTAAACGAAAGTGCACGGACGCGGAGGTTTTGGAAATACCAATTGCGGCCAATGGCGCTGAACTCTCCGTCTGCTCTATTTATTTATTTATTTCATATTAATTTCATTATTAATTGTTCTGACAGTGTCTATTTATTTAATATTTTAACTAGGGCTGTGCAAAAATGAATTGCGATTAATCGCATCCAAAATAAAAGTCTGTGTTTACATAATATATGTGTGTGTGCTGTATATATAAATACACACACATGCATGTATATATTTAAGAAAATGTGTTATTCATATATAAAATATTTATATAATATAGATTATGTATTTTTATATATATATATACACACACACACACAGAATTTAAGCGCACATAATTCTTAAATATATACATGCATGCATAGGTATTTATATATACAAAATAATTATATAGACACACACACAATTATATTATGTTAACACAGACTTTTATTTTGGATGCGATTAATCGCAATTCATTTTTGCACAGCCCTAGTTTTAACCAATTCAATGTTCAATCAATATTCAAAAGCAAAATGTTATCTGTTTGACCACAAATGTAATTGAATATTTTACATGGCATTTAAAAAAAAAAAACTAATTCATGTAAACGGTTCAAATCAATTCTGTATTGTTTTATGCACATTTTTCACATTGACAAGTTTGAGGTTGACATTTATCCATTTTTTGTATTGAATAAAATATGTAAAAAAAAAATGTGTTTATTGCACTTTTGAGATATATTGATTTTATTACAAACATAGCCTTCAAATTGGGAGAGTAAGGATTATTTTGATGTATGGCATATGAAAATGCTCTAAAGAATGACAGCACAGCATTATATGGCAGGTCATAAAGGGTTAATTATATCTTAAAACATGTATGGATGCAGCTTGTATTGGCTTCATACATTTTTGGCTACATTTTCTGTGCCGATATTGGGTGAATCTGCAAAATTCTGCCTAATAAGATGTGGATCTCATAGTGGTAATTTAGATAATAATTAACTAGCCGAAATATTTACTAAACTAACATTCAAGGGACAAAGGAAGTGTAGAAAATCCATGTTAGTCTGGATAAGCTTAAAAATGTGTGTAATTTTCTGACCTGAATGGCTTTTGTGGCGTCTGTTTCCTATCTTTAGTTTGAGAGCCTTGGTCCGATTCTCAAGCTTCCTGGCAAAAAAACCTTTAACAACATGGACAGGGAGTTTTTGGAGAAAAGGAAGAAGGACCTGAACTCATATTTGCAGGTGGGTCAGATGAGGACGTGTGTGTGTGTGTGTATTTGGGGTTCTGCTTTGATCCAGGTGTGCTGAGAGCTGAATCTGTCCCACAGCTGCTGTTGAATCCTGAGATGGTGAAGGCCTGTCACATGCTGATGCCCTACATCTATGACTTCCTGGAAAACAAACCCTACAGCAAAGGCAAAGGAGATTTTGCACGCAAGGTGAGAAACGCCACATGCATACCTATTGTCTCAGTGAACGTGTATATATCCAGATTGATATAAAACAATCTAGGCTTGTTTTTTTAGCATATAATCTCAAGAAAGAATCATATTTATCCATTTTTGTTTCAATGCATCAATTGAAAGAAGTCTCTTCTGCTCATCAAGGATGCATTCATTGATTTCAATGTGATTATATTGTAAAATGTAATGTATTCCTGTGATCAAAGCTGAATTTTTAGTATCATTACTCCGGTCTTCAGTCACATGATCAAATCAATCTAATATGATTTTGCTGCTCAAATTTACCGAATCAATTTTATGCATCCTTGCTTTTTTTTTGCAAACTACACTGTAGTAGAAATCATTAATACTATTCAAATGAAAAACCAACTGTGTCGGATTTGATATTCTTGTCACACTTTTGATGGACCGATTGACAGGCCAAACAGCATTTTGGAGTTGCCCAAAAATCATTCAACTCAATGAGAGTTGGCGCTTCTGGACAACGAGGAAAAGCGGAAAAGCTGAGACGATTAAGCTCCCATGGATACTAACATAGCGATTAAATTGAACGCAACCCGATGTATTCATCCAGAGGGGAGCGGCATAGTTGTTGTCTGACGGGATTCGCAGTTTTTGTAAATTTGTCCTGTTCTCTGGACTCGGACAGATGGACACGTTTGTGAATCCTCTCCGGAGCTCCATGCGGAACGTGTCCAATGCCGTGAAGTCACTGCCGGACAGCCTGGCCGAGGGAGTGTCCAAAGTCTCGGCGGACATGGGCCAGGATTTTAAGAAAATTGGCCAGGATATTAAACAATCCATATTTAAGGTAGAGCACGTCTAGAGAATCACAGAACACAGCGAGAAATGCGCAAGACCTCAAAAACTGGACGCTTCACACACATTTTTATTTAACTGGGAAACTTTGTCTCTGCATTTAGTCAGTAATTTCACATGCATAGCTGAGCAGGTGCAAAATACATGTACGATAACTCGACTGGCGTGATTTGAATATATGATTTTTTTTTTTTTTATCAGTGAATGCATGTCATGAACTCCAGATGCTTCTGCTCCACAGGTTCCTCCTTTAATCCAAAAGTCTGACATCGATCCCGAACACTGCCGTGTCTCGGCGCAGCTGGACGACAACGTAAGTCAGCATCACATCAAAAACACACTCTCAAGAGGTTTGTCGTCTTGTATAATATGTTTTAAGGCACTGAAAGAATGACGATTAATAAACAATTCTAGTAGAAGGTTTATAGTTTAATGTTTTAAAGCATAGAAAATATGATGTTTGTATTTACATTAGTGATAAAATAATTATTATTAAAATGTTTTATTTTATTTTACAGTACAGTAGTATTATTACCACAGTAATATTTTTATTTTTTTACTTTTTATAATTTAATAAAATTATTATCATTTTCATTTTACTGTACAATCTTATTCTAAACATAGAAATGTACATGATAAATATGGAAATATTATTATAATTATTAAATAATTTAATTTATACAAAATTACAATAATAATGTTTTTAAGGATTTTTTTATTTTACAGTATATTTCTTTTTTTCTTTTTTACTTTTTATAATTTAATAAAATTATTATTGTCATTTTCATTTTACAGTACAATCTTATTCTAAACATAGAAATGAATAATTTAAATATGGAAATATTATTAAAATTATTAAATACATTAATTTCTATAAAATTAAAATAATAATGTTTTTAAGGATTTTTTTATTTTACAGTATATTTCTTTTTGGATTTTTTTTACTTTTTATAATTTAATAAAATTATTATCATTTTCATTTTACAGTACAATCTTATTCTAAACATAGAAATGTATATCTCAAATCATTTTTAAAAATATAGAAATATTATTAAAATTATTAAATACTTTAATTTCTGTAAAATTACAATAATAATGTTTTTAAGGATTTTTTTTATTTTACAGTATATTTTTTTTTATTTTTTTTACTTTTATAATTTAATAAAATTATTCTTATCATTTTTATTTTACAGTACAATCTTTTTCTAAACATAGAAATGTATATGTTAAATATGGAAATATTATTACAATTATTAAATATTTTAATTTCTATAAAATTACAATAATGATGTTTTTAAGGATTTTTTTTATTTTATTTTATTTATTTTTTTTTTTTTTTAGTAATATATTAATTGATTTTTACTTTCATAATTTACCGAAAATAGTAATTTTGAATGGGTCCCGTAATAACAGCTGTGTCAAATGCAAAATCCACATTTTAAAGGTGATATTTTAAAATAAAAGTCTCCCTGGACCTCAGACCCTTCTATGGGGGTTTGCCTCTGTCACTTTTTTCACCCAGATTAGTTTGCATCCCTGTTTATTGGTAGATTTTTCATGTGGTCTATCGAACCATTTCAAATTGGATCTGTGAGTTTCATAAATGTTGTTTTGTTGTACAGGTGGACGATAATATTCCTCTGAGGGTGATGTTGCTGTTGATGGACGAAGTGTTTGACCTGAAGGAGAGAAATCAGTGGCTGCGGAGAAACATCAAAAACCTCCTCCAGCAGCTCATCAAGGCCACGTATGGAGACACCATCAACAGGTGCGGTGGACACGTGCACTCGCGCGCATCATGACTGCTGTTTCTCCTCTCTGTTCCACGGCAAACATGTGTTTTTGCTTCACTCTGCAGGAAAATCGTGGATCATGTCGAGTACATGACCTCGCCTGAGCAAGTGTCTGATTATGTGAAGAGATTCAGGTGATGATTGCATGCGTACTGTCTGTTCTGAAATATATATGGTTCTGGTTCTTCTTCTGACTGAGTGTTTGACTCCTCAGAGACTCTTATTGGCCGAACGGGATTCTCGCCGAGACGCCGCCACGCAGAGACAAAAGCCTCCGTATGAGGACGCGGGTCGCCGCCAAAACCACACTCCTGGGCATCATGCCGGGTACTTACAATGAGCTTTAGTAGAGCTGCTTTAGTGCTTGATCAATTAAGAATCACATTTTTTATTTTTATTTTAAGATTGCGATTCTGAACAAACCAAACTAAATAACTTAATTTACTAGAGGTATTAACAAAATGTCAATTGCTGCAGTCTATTTAAAATGTTTCATTAATCTGAATTATAACAATTTTAAAAAAAGAACGTTTGAGGGAATGATTCAATGACTCACTCAAATACTCGTTTCATTACTGGATGAATCAGAATTGATCAAATCTCTTGAATGAATGAATCAAAGACAGATACATTTTTGAACAGTCACTTTCCCCTCCTAGTGGCGTTACGATGTTATGAATGCAATAATTATTAATTAATATAATATCTCTATAATTATTAGTTTGAGTGAATGATTCAATGACTCACTCAAATACTTGTTTCATTATTGGATGAATCAGAATTGAACAAATCTGTTGAATGAATGATTCAAAGACAAATTCATTTTTGAACAGTCACTTTCGCCTAGTGACGTTATGATGTTATGTATGCAATAATTATACATTATTATCTCTATAATTATTCGTTCGAGGGGATTATTCAATGACTCACTCAAATACTCGTTTCATTATTGGATGAATCAGAATTGAACAAATCTGTTGAATGATTCATAGACAAATACATTTTTGAACAGTCACTTTCGCCACCTAGTAGCGTTACGATGTTATGAATGCAATAATTATTAATTAATATATTATCTCTATAATTATTAGTTCGAGGGGATTATTCAATGACTCACTCAAATACTTGTTTCATTATTGCATTAATCAGAATTGAACAAATCTCTTGAATGAATGATTCAAAGACAGATACATTTTTGAACAGACACTTTCGCCACCTAGTAGCATTACGATGTTATATATGCAATAATTATAAATTAATATATTATCTCTATAAATATTAGTTTGAGTGAATGATTCAGCGACTCACTCAAATACTCGTTTCATTACTGGATGAATCAGAATTGAACAAATCTCTTGAATGAATGATTCAAAGACGGATACATTTTTGAACAGTCACTTTCGCCACCTAGTAGCGTTACGATGTTATGAATGCAATAATTATTAATTAATAAAATATCTCTATAATTATTAGTTTGAGTGAATGATTCAGCGACTCACTCAAATACTCGTTTCATTACTGGATGAATCAGAATTGAACAAATTTCTTAAATGAATGATTCAAAGACACTCATTTTTACAATACAGTCCATTTCGCCACCTAGTGGCATTAAAATGTTATCGATACAATCCGTATTTGAAGCATCAATTCACTGTCAAAAGTTGTTTTACTCTATTTCCAATCAATCTTTTATTCCAGTACTGATCATTTGAACGTTTTTAACGTAAAATAACAATGAAGTGTTTGTTTGTGAAGACGCTTTTTATAGGCTGTATAAACCAGGAGAATAATTGTCATCTAGGAATGAGGTGGCGTGGGTGTTTGAATGGAGATTGTGATGTTTTATTGATAACTCTGCCTCTTTTCTCCTGCCATCAGATGAGTTGAAGCACATCATCGGGGCGGACACCACGCGCAAGGGCATCCTGCGTGTCTTCGACATGTTCCAGCACCAGTCTCTGAACCGGCGGCTGGTCTACGTCTTTCTAGAGGGCTTCCTGGAGACCTTGTTTCCTCAGTACAAGTTCCCCGATCTGTTCGTGAAGCTCCACTCGCGCTCGCCGCGCGTACTCAAATACTCACTCAAATCGCGCGGCTTGCACAAGAGGTGACAGACGGACGCTTCTCCCGGCGACCGGATGTGGAACACACACACACACACACCTCCCTCTTAGTGCCTCCCGGCTGCTCTCGTTTAAAGCACTGCATTGACACGGCCGTAGCATAGAGGATTCATTTTACCATCATGAAGCGACAGCTCTGAACCACTAAAGACTGAACACTGAGCGATCCTTCACTGTGTAGATACGTCCGTTTTTTTGGGGGGATTTGTTTTGTATGGTCGAGTACAGTACGGTGACCGAACCAACCTATGCACCTTAACACTCATTACAAGCAGAAGCGTATGAGGAGGGTGTTATGATCCTCATTTACAAACATTATGTGGCACTGACACTGAACTAAGCGTAATGTTATCCTCGAGTGGGTGGGGTTTAAAACAGGCCACGCCCACTTTCACTTACAACTCGATCGGTGGGTTTCAAACAGCGTGTGGTTGCATCTACTACGGAGATATGCTTTAAACGAATGTCTAGTGAGCCTGTGTGTGTGTCCTGTTTTTATAAGTCAATCGAAGGCTCGTGTACATGTGTTTTGTTTTTTTAAAACGACTTTATTTTAGAATAGCAAGTGTAGCACTAAACTGCAACTGTCCGATGACGGAGACTGTTTGCGCGTGAGATATATAGAGCCTTAAACCCGAGACCAAGAGACGTGTGCTGTAGACGTAGCTTCCCCTCAGACACACACACACACACACGCATCGAGGAGATCTTGACTGGCCTAATCAGAGAATATGTTATTCTTTGTTGTGCAATATGTTTCTTTAATGCATGTTCTATAATAACCGTGTATGGGATCGTTTTTTCAAGTATATCCGAGTGAAGCGAAGATCCAAAACCACCTGAACATTCCGTTGTTGTAAATGGCTTGTTTTAAAGGACTTGTTTTATAAGTCTGGCTTTTTATGTTTGTGTTGGGGTTCTGTTTTTTTAATGTTTCGTTTTCTTGACGATGGATTTTTGGCGTGATCTGCTTTTAGGAGCGAGTGAAAGCACATTGTGGGTGAACGGAGTCTGGAAACATGCAAGCAGAGGTCAGAGGTCGTCAGAGCACACAGGTTAAACACTCTCCAGTCACACTTGCAAAAATATGCATGGGTTGTATTTCACCCATAACTTATGATTTGCATAAAGAAAATTGTTAAGCACATTTCCTTCATTCTCATTACTGTTGTGTGAAATAAATACATATTACAATTAAAATAATAATATATACATATAAATAATTGAATTATTATTATTATTATGAAAACTAGTAATTTAACATATGTCATAATTAGGGCTGTCAAATGGTTAATCGCTTTCAAAATAAAAGTTTGTGTTTACATAATATATGTGGGTGCACTGTGGATAATTATTTTATATGTATAAATACACACACATGCTTGTATATATTTAAAAATTATTGTCATGTATATACTGTATATAGATTTATATATAATTTATATTATATATAAATATAAATATTTTATATATAAATAATATTTTTTCCTTAAATATGCATGCATGTGTGTGTATACAAAATAATTACACACAGTGCACCCACATATATTATGTAAACACAGACTTTTATTTTGGATGCGATAATTCACGATTAATTGTTTGACAGCCCTAGTAATAATTAGATTTTTTTTTTTTTTTCAATTTAAGTAATGAGAAATCATGGATATTATCTCTTGAGGGAAAAAAGCAATTTTTTGTCTTTACGCAAATATAATTTATTTTAATTTTGGAGTGAATGTGACCCGTCTCGGGTTTCAGATCTGCAGATGCCAATTGTCAATAACTCGTTGTGTGATTTTAAAAATAAAAAAAGCACTTAAACTGTTAATTGAACGTTGTTTGCGGTGGCCAGCGTCAGGCAGGTTTACTCTTTCTCGACTGTGATTGGCTGGCTCTGAGAAGCTCAAATCTGCTGTGATTGGTCACACTTCCCCTTTAAATTCGCGTTTTCTGAATCCCTGTCTGTATGAATCTGTGAAAACGAACTGCGTATCGGTGTGTATAGTATGTGTCAGCGGTGTGCCTAAATGTACTGTCAATTATATTTTCTTATTTTTCTTCAAGTCGATTTGAATGTCATGGTCGTTTTAATAGACTGAAAAGGACTCTAAAAGGACTAGTGTCTGCATTATGCTTCTAAAACATTAATTTTGAGCAGCTTAACTCAGTATAACACTAATAAAATTAACTCCACCTCACTGCCCTGTGTTTTACTGTACGTGTATGAATGAGACTGAAATAAAGAGTCTGGATTAAGAATTAAGTGTGTGTGTGTGTGTGTGTGGGCAACAAGTCTGTTTTAATCCATTTTAAGTTGATTCTTGCATTGAATTAAGATCTTTTAAATTGTTTAAATTGTGCACTCTAAACAATGCTGGGTTGTTTTAACCCAAATTCGGGTTAAAAATGTAATCTCAAAGTTTAACCCAACTTCAACTGTACATTTTTAACCCAACATTTGGGTTTGTCCATATTTGACCCAAATTTGGGTTGAAACAACCCAGCATTTTTTCGAGTGTGGATTGAATGTTGATATTTTTGGGGGTTATGGAAGATAAACATCTACACCATTTAGTCTCTTTCAAAACTGTCAAATCTTTCAAAGAAAGCGTTCTCATAATATAATTAGATATATCAGGCATCAAACAACTGAAAATATGATTAGCTGTTTAGTACATTGGAAAACTCATACAGTAAAATTTTTATAAAATACAATTATTAAATAACTATGCAAATAAGCCCTGATATGATCTAATTATATAATATATATATGCGTGATAGTAGCATTGCTTATGTATACATGTGTAATCCGTATTCAAACGTTTCCAAATTAAATGTTGATGAGGTTTAGGACAGTGTAAAGAAAAATAGCTTTTTTTTATTTATTAAACTTTACCCACATTTAAGTGTTAAAAAAGAGCGGCGTTGTTTAAAAGCAGCGGCTCTGTTCTTTCTTTAGATATATTACATGTTATACAATAAAATATTGCGGGTGGGCATGAAAGTTTTCAAAAATGCTGGCGGGAAAAAGTTAAAATGCCAACCAATATTTAAAATGTGAATAAAATAAATGGCCAATTTTTAATTCCTTTTTGTTTTAAACTGATATTTAACATATTATACACCAAATATTTCTAAATGCAAAGAAAATTCTCCCAGCAACAACAACAATTAAAGAAATTACATGAAAATGTATTTAGAGTGTTTATTCTTATGTATTACTTTCAGCTTTTGTTTTGTTTTTTATTGAGTTGATTTCCATGTATTGCAATAAATTGAATTAATTCAATAATTGAATGCATCAGCAGTGTTTCCCAGAAAGCTCTTCTCGGGTGTGCTGTTCTCACATGACATCAAGGTGGCGCTAAAGCACACAGGAATGCCCGTGACTATTTCTAGATGCAGCTGTGGTTATTATGGGAAGGAACTTTTTAGACATATGTCAGGTTGTGTGTGAATGTCCTCAGGCTCTTCCTGACGTCTAAAGGCCAGAGTGGTTCAGTGACACTTCTGCTATTTTTACACACAGAGCTGTAGTATTTCGATCTCCTCAAGAGGCCAGTTTCCTTATTCCAGGAGAAGTGTCCATCTGTCTCATCACTGACCCTAAAGCACTGACCTCCACATTACTCGCATGCCGAAGCTGTTAGTAAGTTTATCTGAACATTTTCAAGATTATGACCATTGTTTTGATCTGGGAATTATACGTTTGTTTTTTTATTTATTTACGTTTTAATTTAATTGTAAAAAACATTGCATTTTAAATGATTTGCTTACAATCAAATTATTTTATTTAGATTATTTTAATATAAAATACATTTATTACATGTATATTGTTAAAATAAATAACTTCTTTGTAAAATTTATTTTAGGCCTTTTTTTTCTTTGAGTGAACGAGGTAAACGAACACAACATTCAGCTTGTATGAATATATTTTATCAGATTGTGGACAGTTTGGTTAGAAAAACAACCAACAACAAGGTAGGAAAGGAAACATCGATGACATCACTTTGCATCGCACTCGGTTTCAGCCAATCAGGAGCGTCCTCGATTAGGCTTTGTTGTGGAATGTCGGACATAGATATTTTCAGACGATAAAGAAACTTCCACTCTGGTTTTACTTCCGGATTGAGTCAAATTGAGTGAAATGATTTGACTTGCTCGATAATAAGCGATAGCGCTTGAATCTCTGAGCTGTCAAACATTAGATAGGCCTATTCAGATCAATATTGATCCACATGTCCCATTTGAGTTTAACATCAATTCTTTAATAAGTAGACTAGTGTATTACCACAACGTTGTACTTTGAATATTTATTTAGCGACCCACTTGTTTGTTCTTTGTTTAAAACATAAATATTAGAAATAAATATGAATATTTTTTCGGGTCATAAGAACATCACACCTTACTAATAATATCAATGATGATTCTAATGGTAAATAGTAATTTTTATATTTTTTCGTGCTTTTTTGCATTTTGTGGATGTAACGCAGGGCAACATAATTAATAGATTGAGATAAATTGACTTTCATGACGATATTTCATTGTTTGGCGTGTCTTCAGCGCCCTCTGTCAGCCTCGCCTGTCACTGCAGCGAGAGTGGAGACACTAGAAATGCGCTTTGTGCCGCTTGTGTTTGTCTATTTCAGGAAGAGGAGAGGAAACTCAAGCCCTGGCATGTGTGTGTGGCTCTGGCAGAACATTATCCCGCGGCTGTCTGACATGTTTCGGGCTCTTTTAGGCTTTTAAAGCGCCAGTCCGGCTTCATTTGCGCTGGAGGAGGAAGATGTTGCTGCGGATGCGAGAACAGGTCTGTGATCGTCGTCATCATCATCATCAGTTACCTGACCTCAGCTCACCTGTGCTCACATCTCAGGGTTCTGCTTCTGCTTTCGAGGTGCAGAACTGGGAACTTCTAGAGGAGTTTGTGAATCAAACAGCAGGCCAAGCTTTTAATAGGCTAATGGCAGGTTTAAGAGGTTCTGCATTGGGTTTGTTCTGCAAATGGCCTGATGCGTTGCTGCATTAATGCATTCTTTGCTTATTTAAGGGTTATTTTTTCAGGTTACCTTGCATTTAATTTTGTACCCTTAAAGTATGTGCGTATTATCTGCGTAGTGCATTGACATTTAACTTCCATACAGCTAAACATTTTAACTTTAAATTTAAATGAATGTATTAGACAAATTATATTTTTCATTTCATTGAATTGTTACAGAAGCCATAAGAGGGTATGGATTATTTATTTTCTCGTTTTCAATAATTTAATTTTCTCGTGATCTCGACATAACAAAAGTTGTTCTAGAAGTTACACGACTGTGCCGACAGGGGTCAGTATAGCGACAGGAGAATCTCTGTGTGAACCGTGTTTCAGAGTCAAACAATTATTGTACAAAAACAACTACTACTTTTTAATGTCGAAATCATGAAAAAGCCATTGCCCTTTAGGTCTTCCGTAGACTGGTTGCCATTTTGTTTTTGTTTTTTTAATTAATTTATTTTATTTTCTTTAAAAAAATAATTAAATTGTCTTTTTGGCTAAATTAGCGAATTTTTATTGCCATTTCGTTTACTTTACAAAAAATATAATTATTATTATTATTCAGAACGTTTTCAATGGTCTTGAATCTGTTTTGCAGTTAATTTATTGGTAAATCAGACTGTCTGACGGACAGCTTGTGACGGCAGGTTTTCATTGGTTGCATTCTCGGGTAGATGAGCTTGTTATTGGCTGCAGGGGGCTCAGGGGGCGGAGCTTAGAGGACTTCAACGCCGCAGGGTTCTTAAAATGAACAATTAATAAGAACTACACATTATCTCATAACTCAATTTGAGACTCCAGTGTTCAGAAAATGTTTTGCTGTGTCTTGCGTCAGTATGACAAAAGATTTCAACAGATTCCTGCAGATCCTGAAATAACACTGTGGCATCAGCTAGGGCATCCCATCATGCATTGCAGTTCATTGTAAACTCCCCAACTCCCTCTTTTAGTTCATGATTAAAATAACTATTTTGCAATTCTTACTGTTTAATTTGAGACATGTTTCCTGAATTGGTGGGGGAAATATTGTTCTATTACTTTATTTATAGCAATAAAAATAAATAAAAAATCCAATGTGACATAACTGTTAGAGACACTAGATGAAGTATTATCGTACATCAACATTAATAAACCCACTGTAGTTATA